AATTTTGACGGTTTCCATTGTGCTTTGCCGACAGAATAATAGGAGGAGACCTTTTAAACGAAACAATGCCTGCACATCCTTTGCCTACAAATTACAACGGTTCATATGCTGCATTGCGCACCTCCTTTGTGTGCAAAAAGGGAATTTAATTAATACTCTATATAGTTGCCAAGTTCTTGTCTCCGACACAACCCTGACAGGTCGATTGTAACTGACATAATATAAGTAATATCATTACACCCATAACCGTATTACTACAAGTACGGTATGATGTTTAGGTTCAAACGCACTTCACTCTAATCGATAATTTCTTAAATATAACCAAGAATGTTTTTACATTTCAACGGGGTCGGCATTTTATAAATTAAATTCCATCACTCATAAACGTACAACTTCTTGTTTTATAGATTTTTTTTTTCCACGACCGGAAGTTATTACATAAGGATTCGGTAAATGTTTTTTTGTCAATGCACAAACAAACCGTCGATACCGTTGGGTTAACCAAATATTTAGACAGTATATATTGTGTTGTATGTATAATATGTGTACAAAGTTTGATACGGCTAAAAATTTCGAATACTGCCATGGGCCATACCAGACTTAAATCCCATTTATATTGATTCCGACAACACATATAGGGCGTCGCATCCCGCATAAACGAGGTCAAAATCTGGCAAACTGCCGCCGTCCCATAGCCTAACAACAATTACCCATTGTTTTACCTTCGATTTAAATGATTGCCCTTTTTTTATTTTTTGGAGCTAATTTATCCAAAAATAGAGCCTTAAAATGTATTATATTACCTACTCGCATTACATTGTGTTGCACAAAAAAAATAATCTGATTTTAACGATAACATATTATACTATTGTTGAAAGAACATTTTAAAAAAATATGTTTTTTTTTTTATAAACAAATTACAGATTTATCTTTGTCCAATCTCGTACAAGTGGCATTTGAGTTTAATGTTTTCGAATAATACTTTAAGGCTGTACTGAACCGTACAGACTAGTAGTTGTAGTATAAAAGCTGCAATAGGACTGTATTAAAACCATTAAAATGCCCGGCAATAGCTGTTGTCGAAAGCCTCTTTTACTGTCCAGATTTGCGATTGTGTGGATCGAGCAAACTGATAAAGTAAATTATATACAAAAATGGTCCACCCAGATAAAGTCAAAATTGCGGACATTCCAAATGGAACAGAGGAACAAAGCGGCGAGTCGGTACTTCAAGAATAATATCTCAAGCGAAATCCAGTATACAAACAAATTACACGTTTCAAATGTTTACTATAATCAAATCAAATTGTTTTTTTTTTTTTTAAATCGATTCCCTATGGTTATGGTTTGTTTTGAAAAGCTCTCATATAACGACAAAATGTGATTTCGAAGCTTTATTTATGCCGGGTTACACCAAATATTTACACAGAGACAAACTCGTTTAACTGGAGTTAAAATTAATTTTGTTGCATAAACCATGTTTTAAACTTGATCTGTTGTTAAAAATGTACTTTATCACGAGTTAAATTCGAGCGTCATTTATCGCTGTGTAAAAATTTATGTATATTCAAATTTTGTTATCAATGTTTTGCGTTAAAGTGGTGATAATGGAAATGTGCGTTATCAGTTTATCATTGATTAGACCCTGTATGATAATAGTATTAACTCTGGTACTGATGATAACCAGATTATTCGATAACCAGTATACTGGTAATAACCTGAATATAAAACAACGTTTTAGCAACAACACTCGTAAATTCAACACATGCCAATTTAACAAAAGGTAGTTTAGTACGGTAGTAAATAATTTACCAATAGATAACGACAAGTTTAGTGCAACCGGGTATAAGTATTTTAATTTTCATGTCCGATTAAGTCTAATTAGGTGAGAAACCGTGTAAGAACTGTGTTTTGATATAGCGATGAGACGTGACCATAGTAGTAGTAGACTGTAGAGGGTACCTGTGCAGTTTTCGGGGCGCCACTTATTCTGGCTTAAGTACAATATAAGTTCTAGCCAAATGGGTCGTTATAGTTGTAAAGTCTTGGCGGCGCGGCTGTTAAGTTAAAGTGGTGTCGTTGTGTGGAAGTCTCCGCGATAAGAGGAGTGGGGCGGAGAGAAGCACACAGCACTCCTGTCGTATGTTTTCATTATTATACTTGGGATGTTCCACGGTGAACGTGTGCATAGTAAAAACACCACACTGCGGCACAACATTATTAATGTTATAATCGGATATACACAATGGCCGGGCAAGTCCCTTCCCCTTCGCACCTCCCGCCCTATTTCCACTTGTGACCCACTAAAACGCTATTGTTCGGTATGCGTGTTTGTTTTGGTTTCTTCTTATAAACGGGCTCGTTTTCCTATATCTCTATTCTTACGTCTAACCGTGTGGCTGGTCAAAAGTTACACCGCACACGGCTAAAGTACCAATAGCAACAGTAATAATATAATACAACCGAGAGCAAAGTAGGCGTATTGTTGTTGCAAGGAACTGTTGCCAAACTGTCACCGAAATTTTAACCCTTAGCCTGTCCCTTGTACACCTCCGTGTATTAATGAGTTACCGAGAAGTTGGTTTACCTGTCCTGCTGCCACCGCAGTGTCGTTGCAAAAACTCTCAGGACAACCGCACGACCCCGCGACGATTATTTTCGGTTTAACACGTACAACAAAACGTCAAGTCGGTATTTATTTTTTTCATTTTGCTTTCCTCAAAGTTAACACTTAACGCAAATAAAAATATATTAAAGCCACGAATTATTCATTAGTAATTGACATTTTAAATATAAAACTATAATATTATCACTTATCAGTTATCACATTTCGTGATAACCAATGAGAACGTTGGAATCAAGGTAACCGCTTTGGTAACCCAACTAACAGTTTGTTAACTTAGCAAATAGAATTTAATAATTATAATGTCGTGGTGAAACTTATATTTAATTTAACCAGATGTTAAATTTAAATGAACGGTTAACTAACATTATTTTAAGAGTGTATTTAATAATAGCAGTCGGTGAAACAGGCTGTATGTGTTGTTTATTTTCAAAAAAATTTATAAAGGTAATTTTTAGAAAATAAAAATTGTCTTCAAGTTAATTGGTGAAAAATAATGTAAGCAAAGTAATGTTTTTGATGTATGGAACATTTTTAGACTTACAATAGTTGGGAAATATTATTAAAACATTTGTATTTTCTATCAAAAACATTATGTAAAAATATCTCGACGATAATAATACTAATTTTACAACTAATACAAATCATTTTTGCAATATTGAAACAATATATTTTTTCCTGTTGTTTTCTTATGATGCTTACATTCAGCTTTATTCCCGTTTTAAAATTGCTGCACATGTTAAGGGTATGAAAATATTTCTTTGGAAACTAGGGCAAGCATACAATAGCATGTTATATTTAATAAACTATTATATTGAATATACAAGTTGCTATTATACTTGTCCTAGTTGTGTACATGACAAGCGTCACTTGTGTGTTCATTATTATAGTATAGACAGCATTCGATTGAAGATATTTATAATATTCCTTGTGTCACTTTTGTCTCTCTAAAGTCATCGTATATTGTTATAGCGCTGTACAAATAGATAAATAATTATGGCAAACTTGGGAGGATACTGGATAGGAGTATTTTCCATATTTTGTGAAATACACGGACAATAGCTGTCTCATCTCAAGCTAGATAATTTCGGCGAACCAGTAATGTCTATAGAGAGTAAAGGAAAACACATTAAACGTGACAGTAGATTCGAAGAGCCCGTGACTTTGGCCACATTTCAAAAAGAGTTGGTATAAATAAAAATATACAACGTTCAAGATAAATTTATGGGTTCTAATAATTACATTTTAAACTTCCGCATAACTTATTTCCAAGTAAACGACGCCTACAGACTGAAAACCGCTTTATTTCAGTTTACGGTTTCTCTGTAAAAAGAATATATATATATATATATATATATTTTATATTATATATATATATATATATATATATAAGAATATAACATAAATCCTGATGCTTTGCGACTGTCGTAAAAAAAAACCGTTATTTGTTTCATCACGTTATCAAAAAGTATACGACCCTTGTCTCTGTGTGTCTACATAAAAAGCAAAAGCTGTTTATCCTGACACAATCTAAGACCTTGTGATGGGAATTTGACAATCACAAGACGAGACCCAAACGAACGTGGTATTGACCTCGGCAATGAATTGAAGGATACCCAATTAATACACAATCAGTGTATTGTAATCTGTATTTAATTAATATTGAAATAGTAATTATGTGAAATTAAATACCTAAAATTGTATATAGAAATAACAAAAGCGGTAAGTAAATTGTAATTAAACAAATATATTATAGGAGTTGTGTGAGTGTCTAAAAACTAAAAATAGTGTTTTAACCCTGCAGATATTAGAAAAACACAATCTATAGAGTTTTCAGAATTTATGGAGAATAGAAAAAAAGAATAATGATGTTTTGCGTTAAAACAATTTCCTTAATATACAACCGAACAAACAGTGCAAAATTTGGTTTTGGTAAGTTTAATTAGCAACAAGGAAACGAGATTTAAGTAAAAAATATGAAAAATAAGATCACTGTGGAACCGGATATAGTATAATCTGCAGACACCAATATTCTGATAATAATACAAAATTTTGTAACTTGCAAGTTCACTGTTCTATTCAATACTTAAGAAATAAGCTAAATACTAAAGAAAGGCTTAATGCTGCGACTTCAGGCTTGATGCATACACACTCTTACTGTGTCTATTATTATTTTATCTAAATCAATTTTATTATTAAAAAACTGTCACAAAACTTGACAAGCAATTATTACAGTTGTAATTTTAATAGGATACATCATTACAACATGGTACGTTTAAGATTCAAAACTTCTAAACCTTTGAAAAACATATTGTCATGTACGTAAAATAAAAAGTGTTCTACATCTTATGCATACCGTGTAATAATTATTGTTTCAGGTAATGTTCGGGGTCATACTAAGGTATGCCTCATGGTTGCCCGTGGATAGTATCACTACTTAGATGGGCCTTATTATCCGGTTGTTTGGCCAGACCACTGAATTCAAATTCCGGGCTGCCTGAAAGTGCAAAACCAAATATGACCGAAGGTAATTCACTTATTTGTTGAGTATATTAAATAACCTATTTAATTTTAAAATTGTCTTATCAGGACTAAAAAATTATCTTTAAAAAATAGCATTTTTTCTAAATCATGTACATGCACATATGACTTATGTTGAGGTATTCTATACTTTTTCAATTATTATATACTTTTTTTTTAACATAATATACAATGTATATGTAATTAATAACGATATTAATACTAACACTATATATATATTGTTTATAACTTATAATTATAGTACATAAATAATAATAATAATAATTATCTACACTCATGTTGTTAACGAAAGTCGAACTTGTAGTTGTCTTGTGTACAAGCTTGTATAAAATCTGCATAGTATACAAAGTTTGGCATAAAGTTTAAATTAATTATTCTTTATAAGCGTACACGCGTTATACTTACTTGTAACTCGATATTATAAAAATGTAAAATTTTGTTACTTCGAGTGTGTGTAAAAAAAAAAGTATAAAAATTACAAATTTTACTAAAATTGATGCCTTGACTCAATATTATTGTTTAATAGTTTAAAAACATGATTTAAAACTATATTATAATTCATAATTTCCACATAGTGTTATATTACTTTAATTTTGTGCATTGACAAAAATTCTAAAGACAATTACAACTTTAACAACATCTCACATCGTCGTTCTCATCCTATTAGAAATACGATTTTTCGTTTAAAATGAAATAAGATTTGACGGTTAAATACCAAACACGTGTTGTTGATTGCGTCTGACAACGTAAGACTGTGACAATATTGTTAAGTATAAAAATTGTGTATTGAACATTTTAAACTAATAGAAATACTAAAAGTTATTACACAATTAATATATAAAAAAAACTGTAACAACTTCTATTGTTTAGTATTTGTATTTAATGAAAGATGAAATCAAATTTGTATTTTATTAAATAAATATAAGAAAAAATCAATGTTTATAAACCATTTTCTTTAACATTTTAAACTAAACGGCAAACGGCTTGTGCTTTATTACAACTTTACTGATTATTTACTTTTAATTACTACAAATTGTTATTATACACAACACATAATATTTAGTTATTACTTTTTTTTTAATAATTTGGCATAACCTGTTTATAGTAGCTAACAATGGTTCTCTGTCAAAAAAAAAACCTTCAACTTACTGCTTTTAATATCACAATTCACAACTCTATTTAATGTTGGATAGTTGAAATACTGCAATGTTCTGTACATAATACAAATCAGAGTGGATAAACAAACCGTCGACAATATTAATGTCGGTACACTATGTACCTGGTAGAAAGTTTAAGTGATCTGTAGAAATAAACAAGTCGTCCATAAAAACCACTCTAAAAGTGCTAAGAGAAATGAGCGTAAGGAGGTAGAGATTCTTTTTTTCCCCCTTTAATTCTACCAGAAAATATTCAATTCCTTTCTTACACCCAATTTAAATATCAAGTAGCCACATTTAAATTTTAATATTAACCACGGGCTTGTGTATTATGTGTACAATATGAGAACCGTGGGTGTGCTTGTAAATTAAATTTGTGACGCAATGTCTACTACCACAAATACATTGCAGTCCGTTTTAAATGGATTCTACTGAAAAACAAGTGTTCAATTCAAAGGAAAATTCAAAATTGTGTCCTTTAATTTTATACAGATAAGAAGCGTAAATAATTTGTATGTTTTGCATAATATAATAACCAAACGAAACATCTTACAGACATTAAATAAAATATATTACAATATGGTTGTAGCTTATAATACTTGCACATATACAAAATCCCTTAAACATAAACCACAAGACGGTTATTGACTGATCTATTAGCACTTGCTTAGTATCATTTAAGTTATAACAAGTTACCAGCAAAGCTGATTAATAATTTTTGGTTTTTAATTAAAAAAAAAAAAAATTTATGTTTTCAGAGAATCTCACTTGTTACACTTGCATAAACGTGTCGGACAATTTAACATGCAACCAATACGCAATAGACAGACCTTGTGCTCGAGGTAAGATTACTAACACATTTTTTATGATAAATTCTGTGCTTATTTGTATATTTTAGACTTAGATTACTGCCAAACATTACACATAATGGACTCGACCGGATCAAGCGTCATAGTAAACAAGAAATGCGCCAACCGATCCGAATGCCATCCATCTACAGTGGGGTGTCTTCGCATTGACACACAAACAGTAAAAATAATCTTACATTATACTGTATAATTGTTTTATAATGACAGCGTGGTGATAATTAGTAGAAGCTCTAGAGTGTAATAAAATTGTCTTGGATTAAAATATTAACTCGATAACAGCTGTTGGATGTAGCCATGTTTTCTATCGCTTCAAATAGTCTAGCCTGTTATGACTTATGTATGACAAAAACTATACACACTTATTGGACAAAGAAACTCAATGTTTTTCCAAATTCTTGTTTGATTAGCTTTTATAACTCGGTAACAGATGTCATACGCATTTACTATTGACTTTAATAGTAACTTATTTACTTGTAAAATGGTAAATTTAACCCTTAACTTGGCCAAGGCTAATACTATTAAATATTAAAAACAAATGTAGAGGTTTTTTTAATACTTAGCTAAATAAAATGGTATATACATATTTTATCCTGGTAAAAATGCTCGTGTCTGTGAACATAAGAGCCTCTTAAGTGATATGTCTTGATTATTTGCCAGCAAAGCGATAGCGTTTTTAAATGGTATAATCTGATCAGTTTTGTCCCTAATAAATCACAATATATGCCTTGCCAAAAACTAGCATATACCTCTATCTTCTGGCAACTTTCAGTGAGTTTGACATTTCAGCAATTAACCGTTGAAAAATGTAGACCATTTATATTTACTCGACAGTCCATTTCGAAGCGGTTCTGTGAACATGGTTCTTCACTTAACGTCGGTTAAATGTTTAAATATTTCTGTGGATGTTTGTTTATTGATTCTTCATGAAACTACAAATACCTATTTGTTTTGAAAATCGCGCTTAGACTATTAAAATTAATATTGTAAGTAGAATAATTGAATGTTATGCACTTTTACAGTTGTTTAAATCGTATCAAAGTAGACTAGATAATTAAATCGGGGGTCGGTTAAAATTTTAAATTTTACACTCAAGACTAACAAGGAAATATGAAACTTACCCTTGTTAAAAATCGGATATTTAATTGAGAGTAATCAATAACTGTTGTTTATTTTTTAGGTAATCCAGTTAATGTAATAATCATAACATGTTTGGCAAATATATTATGATTATGAAATGTATTTTGGTATGTTTTTAAAACATTTTTCCGGTACAAAACTTGTAAAAATACAATCAGCCGATTTCACCAACATTTGCGAAGGATTTAACTTATTGTTAATTATGTTTAACAATTCGATAGTTAGTGAAAATTGGTTTTCATCGAGATTTGTTAGCACGTTGTTAAAACGTTTGTTAAGTTAATCAGCCAAAATCTGAGATTGTTAAAAAGTTAATTGGCATGTTAAAGTTGGCATAAATCGAATTATTACATTACTAATTGGGTTTTTAATATTATCACTTATCACGTTTCGTGATAACCAATGAGAACGTTGGAATCAAGATAACCGCTTTGGTAACCCAACTAACATTTTATTAGCGACCCAAATAGAATTTAATAACAATATTGTTATGATGAAAATGTAATATAACTTTAATTTAACCAGTTGTTAATTTTAAACGAATTGTTAACTAACATTGTGTTAAGAGTGTATTTGATCGCGTTTAACTATTGTCAAGTGTAAACCGTGTACTTGATAATAAACAACACTTTGAGTGGGACGTATTTAAATGGTGGTATTGAATTTATAATTTGATTTTTTTTCGTTTTGCTTGGGGTCGAATTGTTAAGTTTTTTCTCCTTTTTTTTTTGTGTCTAATTGAATCTTTTTAAAGTCATTTACCTAGTGGATACTGTTATGCAGGTTTGCGTGTCTTGTTGTGACGGAATGTACTGCAACACGACTGTGCCCACTAATCAGACAAATGCCGTTGTGACGATAACCCGCAAAGCGCACATGGCCCAAAATGGCCCAAAAACTAAGTCTGCGGCCACCAAAGCATCGTACTCCACGTTGACGTTTGCATCTTACATAATACTATTGCTCCTATTGACCGCACTGCGATGTTAATCCACACATGTGTTACATTTAAGGTACCTACCTACTTAAATATTATTATTATTATAATATACATACACACACACACGCATTCACACACATATATTATATTATATACAAAAGTACTCGAGTATAGGTAATTGTAATGTAACTCTTTATTAATATTTTACGTTGAAATTTATATTGATTATTGTGTAAGCGTTAATTAAATTATTATGTCTAGTTCAGTAAGTCTTATGTCTAAGAAAATAGTATATAATATATTGTAGATTATTTATAACATTTAAAACGATAACCTAATGTGTTGTGTGTAATCAAGTAAAAAATAAAACATTTTAATAACAACGACCGTTCAGATCACACCAACACATTATACTACATTATGAATAATTATTTTAAATATGTTATTTGTTAACTATTTTGAAGACGGGTTAAGTATTTTTTTTTTTTTTATTAAACGACTTTTTGTTTGTTTTAGTAAAACACGGATAGTGTAGGTACATTTGTTAATTGTCAATTATAACGACTTATAAGTTATATACTAATGCCCAGTTGCATCAAACTTGTCGTTATCTATTGGTAAATTATTTACCACCGTAATAAACTAACTTTTGTTAAATTAACATGTGTTAAATTTACGAGTGTCGCTAAAACGTTGTTTTATATTCAGGTTATTACCAGTATACTGGTTATCGAATAAATGGTATCAGCAGTAGATGTATTATTACCATAGTCCATACAGGGTCTAATCAATGATAAACTGATAACGCACATTTCCATTATCACCACTTTAACGCAAAACATTGATAACAAAATTTGAATATACATAAATTTTTACACAGCGATAAATGACCCTGTAATTTAACTCGTGATAAAGTACATTTTTAACAACAGATAAAATTTAAAACATGGTTTATGCAACAGAATTTATTTTAACCCCAGTTAAACGAGTTTATCTCTGTTATATGTATTTGGTGCAACCCGGCACTAATTTTTATAATAGCAATACAATTTGTTGTAAGACAATAATTGTCTTGAGATATCGGTAGAAAAAAAATAAAAAAGCCACAATTATTATTATGCTTTGAAAAATCGAACATAATCATTATATTGTCATCGGGAAAATAATTGACCAGCTTACTTTGTGATATGCCAGCTGTGAATAAACAAATGGAGGTATTTGGACAACCAACCCGTAGGGTCTCTTGTAATCCCTAAAGACCCTGACTAATCGATACCACCGTGATGGCAATACATTTTAGAAAAGTCCAGTACTCGCAAGTCGACTGAATATTAGTTTTTTTCTAAAATAAAAACAATAATTGTTGAACTTTTTTTTTTTTTACTCAGTGAGAGCCCATATTTTGTTTTTGTTTTATGTTGCTTGGCCCGTCAAGTGTTTGTTTATGTCAAATGGTTGTATAGGTATTAAATATTATATAAATGTTATGTATTATTGGCTAATATTATTATCATAAGATATTATAGAGTACCGTGACAATGACATTATACCTTACCCACTTAGCCACCGACTTTGCCCTCCTCATTACTTTGTGTTGGATTATATACTTAATAATGTTATGTAAATTAATCCCCCAATAAAATTATGATGTTTGCAATTATTGGGATAATTTATGTTGGTTTTTAGGTTTAAACTTAGATATTTGTATAAGGTTCTCGTCGTCTTGTATGTATATTAAATAAATAAATAAATATATATATATATATATGAAATAAATGCTACAATAAATTATCATCGTTTCTTTAGTTTATTACAATTTTTGTTTTATATTATAGACGAAAGAAAATATATTATAATTTTGTAGCAGGAAATATTATCCGGCTGCTTGAACGGTCTTAAAATAATTATTTTCTGATCTCATCAATACACTATAACATACCTACACCACAAAATGGACTAATAGTATTATATATTTATATGTATACACAGCAGACAATTTACTTGTACATGAATACCTAACCGAGCCTTTTTTTCCTTCGTCGAGTTGCCAACATTAAAGACATGGGCGTGAATATTATAAGAAATATAAAAAAATATCTTAAAATGTTTCAATAAATAAACACTACGGAGAACCTGTCATCCGCAGTTTGGAAGAAAAATAATACAATAGTTGTGCCCTGCCTGCAAATTGTACAAGTTTAAAGTAAGAACCTTTCATTTAATACAAGTACCTCTAATTACCCAATCAATAACCATAAACCTAATATGAGCCTCTTAGATATTATAAAAAGTGTATAAAAACAATATCTTACTACTGTAAAACATTTTGTTCTATATTATCAAAAGTAGGTAAGTATTGAAACAAGATTATTTGAATATAAAAAACAAACTTACCTGACATTTTTATTCAAACGGGTTTTGCCATCATCTAAAAACAATCCATCTAAAAATGTACAACACTTAATATGATGCGCATTGATAATAATTGAAAAATGTGTACATATATTTAAGAAAATATGACTTTATTTTTTACATTATATTGTTATTTATTGATATTCTTAAACTGTATTGAACCATATGCATTCTCCACAAATTTACATTTCATACTAACAATAAGTATGATTAATCTATTTTTTGTTTATACTTACTAAGGTTTTTCTGATAAATCATTTTGACTTCACTGCTGTGAAAAATCTAGCCAAACGGATGTAAGCAAATACACAATTAGCAGGTAAGTACAATAAATAGTGTAAGGTTTTTCTTTTTCACCAATAAAACAACAGTCGATTAACTAAATATCAATTTTTTTTTTATCTTTGCCTTTGTACTGTTTTTTTTTTTGTGAGATCACGATTTTCTAGCGACCTATTTCTAGATTAAAAAATCATTTATCCCATTTAACTCGGCCGACTTAACGTTAATACGACGGTTTAAGCAACAGAGAATGCAAATGTTTGGAGAAATTGTAATAAGAGTATATATAATTCCCGTTTAGTATAATAATTATAATAAATTAGAGGCCGTTAAATTAATGCGTTCCCATGCGTTATTTGGTCGACTAATAAAAGAAAACGATTCGGTTAAAATTAGAGTTTAATATCGTTCTACCAAAGAGGTTTAAAATATAATTTAAAAAAATAGTTTTAAATATATTTTTTTCTCGATTGTTCAAAAACATTATAAAACTATTTTACTTTTGATTTTATAAAACGTTAACGTTATTTCGGTAAAATCCCTTAATAAGGGTTTTGAAAATATATCAGGGTTCATTCATATCTACACACTTTGTATAATATATTTAAATATTCTGTTTCTGACCGTGTAACACCTACTAATAATCATTGTGCGCTACATTTCACACAACGACCCTAAAATTTAGATTTATTAGATTTGCAACCAGTTAATTGTGTACTGCGGTGTTACATTAATTAGTGTAAATGTTTTGTACGTTATCTCTTGGGGAATGCGTTTAATGAATAATTTAAATAGTACACCATTATTATTTATTATGTAGTATAGAACACGGTACAATATTTAGTTCTATGCGCGTTTGAAATTAGTTAGATGAAACTCAAGTTTCAAAAATAAACTCGAGTTTCATCGAACATGAATTTGGACTTCGTTGAATAGCGCCCACGCTTTTCTTCTTAGTAAAAACATAAGATGTTTAACATTATTTAAAATACCCGTCAGTTGTTAGCGAGTTAAGGAAAAGCATGTAAAAATGTACTACACAGGTTAATAGTGTGGCCAATAGCAAACAATGCTATGATGACTATAATAGGATTAAATATTTCTACTTAAAAACTATTTTTTTTTACACGAGCAATACTGTTGAATTACATTTCGAATTTTTTAAGAATTCAACAAATCTGTCCGTAATACTTTAAGTAATTTGCCGGAACTTGCCAAACTTTGTACGACATTTTACTTTCTTAATTTTGTTTGGAAATTTATTTTCAATATACATTTTTTTTTTGTTACGCGTTAAAGTAATATAATAATGCATCTCAAACGGTTAAAATTTTTGTGCGTACTCGTAGTCCATAAGACAGTTATTACAATTATTCTGAGACCATATGCAAAAATGACTGTATGCACACACAATAGTCACTGTGTACATATTATATTGTACACGGGGGACTTGGCTAAACATTTTATACATTTTCTTTTTCGTTTCTTCAAAACTTATAAAAAGTTATTGACAAATGCGTTTACTATACCCGTATATAAAATACACTAACGCATACACGATGGATGTGTAGAACGACAAGGTTAGACAAATAAAAAAAATGATTATACAGTAAGATCGTTTAAACGTGGTTTCTCGATTTTCAAGATGAAAAAGTATAGCGCTAATGATACTAAGATATTGAGACACTAATGTATGAAAACAGACAACTGATATATTCTTCTACAGTCCAGAGTTTTTTTTGTTGACATTTTCATGTCTTAGCTCTGGCACATAACCCTGGCAAATAACCGAAAAAAGCGTTATTTACTTAGTGTTACCAAAAAAGCGTTACGAAAAATGCGTTACTACACGGAGATGGGGTTGGGGTGGGAATGGGGAAGGGATGGGGTTTTGGTAGAAGACGGGGGTAGGAGATAAATTCAACATATATTCCCCCGTTCCCACCCCCAACCCTCATCTCTTACCCCCTATCTCTTTCCCTTATTTCTTATCAGATAAATGAGCTGATTTTTTCGTTATAATAACCGGTATGGGAATGGGGATAGGGGTAAGAGATATGAGATAGGAGGCGAAATATATTTGGTACTTCAACGAGACATGAAAATGCTCTTTCGTGGTTGCAGACTTGGCTGAAAAATGTTTTATTTGGCGTGTGTTTTAATGGCGTGCAAGTTTATCAAGTATAAATATGTAATGGCGTAGCAATACACATTTACTAACTTCTTTTCAGTGAAATTAAAAAAAAACGCACACACACACATGTGCGTTGTTAGAAAAATCGATACGTTTGTATGGTTAACATATATATATATATATTTGTGCAAATATGCAACTTAAATAAGAATGCCACGTCTAAAAAATTTGATAGCAATCCTATTTGGCATAAACTTTTCGTACTCGTATAGTGTTCAACGGCGGTAAAAATCATTCGCATTGTCTCACAGTAGATGTCTCACAGTTTGTTGTTGATAAAATAATAACGCATCATGTCCTTTAAGTTATCTATTTTGTTACTGTCGTTAACTATCTTGACTGCTAATTCCGTATTGGAAGATGAATATGAACTTGTAGCTATAGCCCATGTAGAGTTACCCGATGGATATAATAATGAAGATATAGATATGGATGTATATTTACCTGAAGAATATAATAGGAATCATGGTTTTATTATTGACTTCGACTTAATACTGCTAGACCCTGAAGATCCATATGAAGCTTTGTATCCAGAAAGAAGAACCACGAATGTACCACTACCACCTACAGAGCCAGTCGAAACTGAAGGACCAAGCGAAACCCAAGCTATGGATGCTAGTATCCATAGCTCTAGCTGTACCTGTGAACCGGACCCAAATGAAGCTGAAGTAATTTTTTTATAATATTTCAGACTATTCTTTTAAAGTTATTAGTGTATTGTCGATTTCAATTGTCTATCGTCGTCAGTCGTTCCTTAAAAGTCCTATCACAGATAAAATGAAAGTTTAATTTAATATACGTTTCTAAAAACTTAAAAATAATTATGTGTACTCGCCCCATACTTACTACTACAGTTTAAAAACATTTTCTAAATTAGCTTTAAAAAAATACCAACCATTTTATTGGTTTTATTTTGTTTGGAATCCAACAGTTATTATTATTCATTTTTTTTTTGTTGCTATATTTGCTATTGTGTGTATATTATTTTAGTGTAGTTATGAGTCAGGCAATCAAGTAAACAAAAAACCACAAAATTCAAAAATTCCATTACCTAAAAAAATGTGTACTTTATTTTTAGAGGTATTTATATTGACATAATCTTGTAGATCATTTAATCTACAATTAAATTGTGAACAACTGTTAGACAAGTCATATGACCAAAGAATCAATTATAGGTGAAAGTTAGCTTAATGATACCTAGTTGAAAGATTATTCTCGGATGATACCTACTTGAATTATTTATGATTAAAAAATCATAATGGGACATTTATGTAATGCATGTTATATTGATGATAATAAAAAAAACATTTCAGATTCTAAGAGATTCGTACAATTATTGTAGAAGTTGGAACAACAAAGGTCCAGACGAGAAGGTCACAAGAGGTGATTTTTGGTTGTTCATGGGAAAAAACCAAAGCGACAATTATAGAATACAACGATACTACCTTGACCATCCAAGTATACCTCAAGGTAAACATTGTCCATGCTTTATTTAGTACAGTGCTTGACTTGGGGGGGAGGGGGGAAGTAGTAGAGGTACTCTAACTGCTTTTAAAAAATTAGCATCCCTAGCATTTTTTAATATATGCGCTATACCATGTTTCTATAAGAACAATTTGTGAACATATGTGTGCATATTATTTATTTTCAAAAAATATATTTACGATTCTTTGTTTTAGGTCCTATTGACTTGGACGGAAATGGATATGGTGAACTTTTTAAATACATATGCCAAAGCCGTGGAGTTACTGTAGCAGACTATGTAGAAAATAGGAAAAAAAGAGCGGAAAAACAGTCACTAGAAGAAACTGGAGGGTTTAAATGGCAGGAAAACAATTAGCTAGTTAAAATAAAAGTGTCAAGAAAAAAACCTACACGTATTCGTTAGTCTAACATTATTTTAAGTACACAAAAGTAGCCCCAGGTGTATAAAACTAAAAGTCGATTTACACTATTTACATGACTTGTTGGTTACTCCCCACTTGGATGTCTTGACTAATTCGCCAAAGTTCCATCTTCTGTGGACTGTGGTTCGATGTTGCTCGTACCGCGCTCTCCTGCAGACTGACCGAATCGCTTCCGTGGACGTAGTTTATATACCAAGCCCCCCCGCCGCATTCTCCTCTTCCTCTTGCCGCTGCCAGCTGTTTTCTACGGCCACGCCCCTTCGCCTTCGGAGAATGCGGTGGGGGGTATGGTACATAACCCACGCCCACGGAAGCGAATCGTTCAGTCTGCAGGAGAGCGCGGTACGAGCAACATCGAACCACATCCCTGTGAAATTATACGTCATTTTCCCATGATATGTATTAAAATGTTAGGTTAGGTGATGAAAACAAACTATAGTTTCAACTTTAATGACAATTATTAGCTTTTTCCAGCGTGAATTATTGATCTCCACACAGCTTACCTACAATGTCTGAATTTTACTAAATTTAAAATATTAACACTACAAATTAGGTCAAAAAATAATTTTAAAAACCCCAAACAGACGGGTACTTGATAGTGATCATATATATTTATATAGGTAAAACATCCTGCTAGATGAAATAATTAAAATTCAATTCAAATAATGGCAATTTTAAAAACGTGAAATATTATATAATTAAAAAATTGATATATAAAAAAACTATAGTTGTAACTTTTATTCTATGTAGTGATCATAATTGTACAGCTTTAACAAAAAAAAAAAAAAAAAAAAGTGAAATAATTAATGTCGTACATCGGTATCGTACCTATGTATGTGCATGTTTAGAAACGAAATCGTTAAGAGAAGTCGCTTAAGACACTGTATAATGGAAAAAAACCGTCAATTTATAAATTAGGGTTGAGTATAGAGATAATAAATTTAGGCACTAATTATTAAAAAATATTTCATAAATAACAAAAAATGTACTTCTACGGTGTAAGTTGTACGTTGGCCGCAGGCAAATTAATCGGTGACGGCATAGGATAGCAGAGTCTGTGACCGATGGTAACAATGAAAAATTACTTATTGGATAAATTAAATACAGAGTAGATAGATAATAGCAATCAATCTTCAAAAAAACAAAACTGACGAAAGGCGTTAAACGAATTGCAGGTTATTATATTATAATTACTTATTACTATATTGGAAGTTTTAATTTCTGTTAAGACAATAAAGTAGGTCTTGTAGGAACACAATTGGCCTTTGCTTGAAACAAACGGTTATTTTTGTTTCTAAGTGTGTGAGTTCATAAAGTGAGCACTTTGTTGAATTACCTGCTATTGGGTACCACCTATTTATGTACAGCCATAAAATATACGTATACCATTTAAAAAAAGACTAGTTACATTTAAAAATATAGTAAACCAATTTAGCTTTGTATAATCATTTAGGTATTGCACACGTTCTAGTACTTATATAAGAAATGGTATGTAATATAACAGAATCTCAAACAATTTTCTCTCAAAGTGCAAATTTGTATGGTTGGTCTGAATATATCAGTTTATCCAGAGGAATAGTTGGAACAAATCGGCATTGATCTTTGGTAATGCCGTTAATCGACACAGCCCAAGTGTGACAGAAATTAATTATAAAAACAAATCTGTTGTTGGCAAAATCAGTCAGACCTGTATTGTACGTTTTGATGAATAGATATATGGTCAGTATAATAATTTAATGTATATATATATTTGCTCAACTGGTGAAATATTCATTCACGTTCGACGAATCCTGCACCTCACTTATATTCAAATGGATCAAGAGCAAAAACAATTTAAGGGGTTTGCCGGTTATTGAAGGGTCACTATGGAGTATGATGATTAATAGGTACCTATGTGAAACTTTGGGGGAAAAAAACTACTGCAATTGAAGAACATTGCACGGTCAGCAAAAAACACTCACTGAACAAATTATATAGCCGTTGATAGAAATCAGAACCAATGTTATGTACAAGGTAGGTACTTTTTTAATACTGGACATATTTTGATAATAGCTGGGTCATAATAATTATTAGCAGCTACGATCGATAAAAATATCCGTCACGCTATTTACTGTTACCACAATTTACCATGATTTTGACATTTGCTTTTTCAAAATTCAAAAGTACCGGATTAGGATAATACAATAAAAAAACGTTTTGTTTGAGGATATGTTAAATACATTTAATGTCAAAAATCCAATACAGCCTTTTATTTGCGCGTGAATAATAAAAAATATAATAACTAATCTTTGGTTTGTATAAAATACTTGTTACAAAAAACTGCCGTAATAATAATAATAATAATATAAAATGGAACAAGTCGGCAGGTTTAAGTAGAATCACACTTGGAAATTGTAAAAATAAAATTCTTATAAATATATGGTAAAGAAATAAGAATGTAATCGTTGTTTTACGCGGTATCACCGCGTCGGACGGCGTCCTCTTCTCGGGCCAACACTACCATTCGTAACATGAGCACGGATAACACTTTGTCCAGCGGGTCCATGAACCCTCTTTGCATCCACTTGGGAATGGTCGTCCTGGCGTGTGAAAAACCGAGTTTTTGCAATATGTAATCCACCCCGTACGGTTCAATGCTTTTTCCACCCCAAGACAGCAGTCTACACATGGTGAAAACAAAATATGAACAATAACTACCGTCTGGGGTTTATCGAACATAATAAAATTGTATTTTTTTTTTCCTACCTGACGGTCGGTTCCAGATGCCAAGTCGTACAATTGTAGTCTCTCCAGTCGTTGGTGAACGGCTGAGTCATTTCTGTAGGCGACGGTGGAACTCTGCTAGCGCTAGGCACACCCGGACTTTGAGGTCTGTTTGCCATTGAAGACTAAAACAGAATATATAATTTATAAACAAAATATATAATAATTACATAATTTGTATTAACCCGTAAGTGGTACAGTGATAAGAAGCCTTATAAGATTTACATTGATAAGCGGTCTGAGGACCGCACCATACCACTTACGTATTGAATGACACGTTATTATTGCACTCACGACTTTATCTTTTTCCCAAATATAGGACGTGATGAGATCGTGTAAGAAGAAAAACGCTTCGGCGTCCACCGTGACGAATATGTGGTCCTCGAACTCCGTGATGAAACTGCACTCCACCGTTGGTTTGATATCGCAAGGCGAAGGCAGCTTAACCGGTTGTGTGTGATCAGTCTTGAGATTTAATTGTAAGGTAGGCAGTGCGAATATGATTTCTCGGGTATGGGAGAGGTTCTCTTGCGGCTTAGGTGTCTTTGGACGTGGCGCCGACTCGGTCGTTTCGTGTTTCTCACGTTCCAAGCTCGGGAACCGATCCACTTCTACAAAATTTATACTCGTTTATAGAATCATTACAATACAACATCGTCATTTTATTGGAACCTACCGTCGAGATCACTCATTCCAAAAGCATAGTTAAACCATTCTTGAATCGTTTTGAACTGAGGCGGGAACAAAATGTTCCGACTAAACTTACACACGGTTGCCATACTGTGTTGCGGTCTTACGGTGCCTTCCATGCCAAGACCAAACGTCAAACTTTGCACAATGTGTATGTCCAAGTCATCTCTGCTCAACGGCCCAGAACCTAAACAAAAAAATATCAGCCTAGTCAAATTTGTTGATATGTAAAAATGCATATTTTGTTTAACTATTTAAAAATAATTTTCAAACATCACACAATCAAACTAACGGTATTACTTATTGTGTTTAAAATATTATATATTACCGCCAAAGGAGAATACTTCATGAGCTTCAGTGGCAAACGATATACAAGGTTCTTTGAGCGAGAACAGAGCCCACGACTTGGACTTGAAGTTTATACCGTGGAAACACGCCAGAGAAATGTTGACACCGTGCAAGTCCATTTTACCGCCCAAAACAGTGCCCCAATGAGGTAACGGATATTTCAATGTGGACAATCGTAGACCAGACACGGCTTCCAAAGCTCGTTGCCAATGTCGATGATGGTGTTTACATTCGTCCGGACTAAAGTCTAAACAAAGTATGATGATAATTATTATCGACAAATGGACTAACATATAAACTACTGTGTTCAATTACTTTCTGGACTCGACGTGGAAATCAGCACACGCCGTCTTGCTGATTTCTTTTTGTTAGAACTCTTTTCGCTGCCGATAGAATCCCTAGGATCTTGTAGACTCGAGAACACCCGTTTGCTGGACTTGAATTGCTGCGAGAAAAACTCTTCCAGCTTGTAATACATTTTCATGATGTCCGACGACGTGCTTTTCGATATCATCAGCTGCAGTTGATCCCATCCCAGGTCTCCGTGCATGAAAACGATGCCCGGTCGTTTGCCAGACTCGTGAAGGCCGTCCGACGATGAAATGCCCCTGGACAGTACCTTCCATTCGTCTTTCAAAACCACTTCGAGCAAACTCACGCGGGACATGAGCACGGCCGTTCCCATGTAATCCAAACGCAACTCGAGTGCGGACAATTTCAAGCCCACCGTGTGTCGCGGTTCCGATCCGGGATCTTCTCTTATCAATACTATATGTAACAAACAAACAAAAACGAATTCAGACAAACGGTACTTGTACTCTCGTTATCTCTGCACGTGATTTACCGTAAGTGTTGATTTTGTTCAACTCTATCGTTCCGCCAACGATACCGCCTTTGGCGTCCAGTCCGGAACCACCAAGTCCCAAACCTATATGCAAGTTTTTGTGGCCCGTACTGCCGATGGACAATCGACCTTCGGAATGAAACTGCTTCGAAAGCCAACTGTGCGTGATAAAAATAAAGAACAAATTGATTTTCAGTTTTTATCGGTGACATAAAAACAGCTATATACTTACGTAACGTTGCCCATGACGTTTCCCATATTCATGTGCACGTTGAGTCGTTTGAAGTTGACGGCGAAAAGCACTAAAGTCTCCCACGCAGCTGCCCCGGCACTACTCGATTTCTGATCAGGACTAGAGTCCACACTGGAACCGTGTCTTTTCTTGTCCGACGGTAGTTGTTTGTCACTCGTTTTGATGTTTAGATGGAGTTTGTCACGACTGGGTTTGGATTTAGGATCGGTAGCAAAGTTTCCAAACCTGTTTTCCAATACGATCAAATTTATATGAGCTAAATAATTGTGCAAATGAAATGTATGTAGACACTTACGTTTCTTCGGGATCTAAGCTATGGTCACTGTAAACACTGCTCGGAACGGTTCTCGTGAGGTCACCGAGAAACAGCCTGCGTACAATGCTACGTCTATACCAGGCCCGTGGAAATGCTAGAATTTCTGTTAAACGTCGCATGTCGTACTTAAACGAAGCCGATCCGATATCGACAATAGCTGGAAAATATCATATTAAATTGTGGACATTGAAATATATTAATATAATTACTAGAAAATCGAATAGTAGCGTGACTCTGGTCCGACATCGTCTTGGATCCCGGCATGGACTCGAAATTCAATTTCCTGCTTCTTGACAAATGGAACTTAACAAATTCAACGTTGACACTCAGCGAATCCTTGCGTTCGCCATCGGCCAGTGGCGACCAAGAGTGGGCGTGTGGCTCTTTAAGGTTGGCGGCTGTTTAAACGCAAAAACAATTTTTAAAAATCACATTCAAACACATATTATTATGGTGTAAACACATACTGGATTTCTTGCCGCCGTACGGATGGAAAATGTACATTGAAAAGTCTGCCATCACACCGGTAATACTTAAACCGCCAACGGCCACCGGTAAATTATTGGGTTCTTCGTAACAATCTTCGAGACTATTTGTACAATACAGATAACAGTAGGTGGTAATTACAAGTGTGTTTCAAGTATACATACTCGTTTGTCGGGTCGGTTCTTTTGGAAGAGAATACGATATCCAACGAAGGTAACTTGAGCATACATTCCACACGAGAAACGGGCAAACAAGAAAATCGGAACGTCGACGTTTGCACGTGAAGAAATACAATCACGTCCACTGGGAACGAGGTGTATGCGTACTGGCCGGGAGTCAGGTAAGGCGCAAACAGGTCGTCGTCTTTGTCTATGTTAAACATGGTATCAAAGGTGCCTAGATGGAGAAAACAAAAAATGGGAACAATTGTTTATTATTAGCCAAACTATCGACATAATATTGATTATTAAGACTATTATTATTAACCTGTTTCGGCAAACTGTTGGGCCGGAATCGGTGCAAGCGTCTGCTCCAAGAACTCGAGTATGTGTGGCGAGATGATGGTTTCTTCGGGTATACTTTGCAGCGTAGCCCAACAATAGAGACTGGCCTTTTTGGTGCTCGTCTTTCTGCTGATGACGCCACTCGAGTCGATCGAATACATGAGAGATTGACTCTCGTCGGCCACCATTTTCGACTGATAGTGCACCTTGAAGTCCAGACCGGGTATGTGGAATATCGTCAATTCGGACAGCTGAGACAAAGTGTTCGTCACGGTCTGATGGTGTCTCAACCGAGAACTGGAAGTGCTGTTTGCTCCGAGTTTGTCTTTGTAGGAACGCCTGGGCAAATTTGGACTGCCCGGAGGCATGTATTCAAACACACCGCCAGAACAACTGCGTTCTTTTTTCATTCTTGACATTCTGTATAGCGGGGAGCAAAAAAATATTTCCTTGTAACCGTTCGGGAAAACCTCCTAAACTACTGTAATAAACTTACATTTTGATTTCATCTTCCTTGACGGAATCCTTAGTGTGTAAAACACACTTGCCGCTGTTGATGAACACTTTAACGTCCAGTTCAAAATCAATGTTGGGTTCTTGAGATTTTTGTGTCGCACCCGATAAAAACAACGGGTTTAACAAGAAGTCATCTCTTTAAATTTTGAAGAAAAAAAAATGTTAATATAATACACACCTTGTGTGGGTGGGTTTTTTTAATTTAACTGTTATCGATGATTTACCTAGAATCACATTGTTTGCCGAAATCGGCATTAGGCCAACTGTCGTCGCCTTCTGTGGCGAGACTTTGTTCTGAACTGGCACTCGGCAAAGAACTTTGTCGAAATATTTCCTTAGTATTACTGAACGTCACGTGAGAAGGGTGCGTTCCTCTAAACGAAGTCGAACGCTGTGGTCCAGCAGCTTGAGGAGAATTTTCTACACTACTCAAACTTATACCTTCCTCAGGACTACAAAACCACCACATTCACACATTATAGATAATGAAATCAACTGTAACAACATTAATCAATAACATTACCTTTGAGCGTCTTTAAACTCTGCTAGTTCTTGAGAGGGTGAAACGATAAACGATTTCGATCTATACGTAGAACTCTTGTTGCTCAAGCCAAATTTGCCTTTTAAACTGGATTTGCCTTTTACACTTTGTCTTCTAAGCTTCTGTATCATATCTCTGATAACATATGATATTTATTAGTTTTGTACAAAACCTGCCAATTTTATGCTTATCATTGTTTTCGTGTACAACAACAGTACTTACACTAGTAAGCTAGAACACAACTCACCTTCTAAACCCTTTAAAAACCATGGCTTCCAATTCGCGCAACCGTTTGACTTCGTGTTCAATCGTAGCTTGTGAAGCTCCCAGTGATCTCAAATCGTTTATCGCTTTCGCTTGTTCGTACATCTCTTTTTCTATGATCTTTGATCTGGTTTTAGCGTTCATATTGGAGTCTATGGCCAAAGATTCCAATATGTCGCCCTCCATGTTCGATTTGTGTCGAACGACGTCGCTGTCTTGCGATATAGGATCACTGTCCGACAAAGGATCGTCCGTATCTTGAACTCCTGTCAGTGCTGTTAACGTATGTCCCAAAGCGCTGAGCTGTTTTCCAATGTTGACGTCTAAATGCATGTCGACACCTTCCATTTGCCATTTGACGTTCAAGAACCATTTGGCGTTTTCTACAAATGATTTATCGGTTAGGTATACAATAACATTTATGTTTTACTTATCTATCATCGTAGAGAATACACACCGGTGACAGAATCTAACTTTTGAGATGTCGTACGGCTACACACTTCGTACGTTCCTTCGGACACTATACAAAGATTCATGGCAGCCGAAACGAGTTCATTGGTTATGTCTGGTTTCCAATCGTCGAGCGACGAATCAAAATCATCGGCAAACCTCAAACACAAGCCGATAAAACGACCTTTGCTGACTAACGATCCAGAACTGCATGCCGATATACTTGTCGATTCCAACGTAATCACTACGGCCGAGCACGACTCAAAATCCATGAAAATCGAACGGTTCAAACCCCAAGTAGTCTAAACATAATATTTACAACATCATTATCACCATGATGAGATGGTCCATATTTAATAAATACCAGTACCTGAGGTAAAGGATTCAGAGGTACACAAATACCCATGTCTTCGACGGTCAGCTGTAAGAAAATGGTCCCTAAATTTGGAGACACCGGTATTTTGTCGGTAGGCAATTTTTCTGATGACGGTTGTGTGGCCGTCAAAACTTCTTTGTTTAAACTCGCTCGTTGCTCGTTCCAATACTCGTATGCATTTTTGTAGTTTAACCACACCAATATTGCTTTGTCCACGGCCATCGGTTGGATGTATATCAACGGCCTCCTCAAAGTAATTAGTATAACTTCTTTGTCCTCTCCTTCCCCGACCATTTCTCCTTGAAATGCATTTCGTAGCTCTAAAAGAAAGTAGTTTAGGTTGTCGATCAATATAATTAAAAAAATTCTTACTACTAAACATATAATACGGCTTACCTATTCTAGTCTTGAAAAAAGCAAAACTCTGAAATTCGGGATCGGCTTCTTCGAACAGAGGATTCCTTATGACTTGACCGAGGGACAAGTTAACGTCGATGTGTGCTTTAACGAAAATTTTTACTTGCTCTGATGTTTGATAAGACGAACCCGATACGTTTTGAACTCTATTGGACAATTGGAAATCAGCAGAACCCGTTTCCAGACGAACTGCACAATTCGTTGGAGTTGTCGCAGTAAGTTCAATGCGCTAAAAATTAAAGATAATTATTTATTTTTGTTTTCAAATAACTATGAAGAAAAAAAAAATGTCTTACTCTCATTTTAACGGTCAACGAAAACAATATCCTCTTTACTGGCGCAGATCGATCGGCATCGGTCTCTTCTAACCAAATGGGTACGGGCTTTTCCCCGCCATATACTTTTTGAACTACTTCATTTACTTCCTACAAATGACTTATGATATACAACAAAAAAACTATTACTATTAAAAATGATCGCTTACTTTCATGAATACTTTTTGAACAAAAACTAAATGGTTTAATAAGTCAGTTGTAAGCGATTGTTCAAACACTCCAATGTCGGCCACAGCACTCAAATAGTTTCCTTGTCGTAAAACTGCGCCGTCTATAAAAATAAATAAATAAAAATATTAGCTATATACATTTTTTATTGGATCGCACACATTGCCGTCAAATTATTATTATTATCAATTCAACTATACCTGTTCCTGAAAACTGATTTTCTCCAGTTTTCAATCCGCCGTCGAGTATATATTCCGCCGATACGTGCACTTTAGGAAGTTCTAAACTGGCCTCGGATGGCAAGTTAGTCTCGGTCACCTATTTGGAACAAAAAAAAAAAAAACAACTAATTTACCACCTAAACTTATTGTATTATTTGATCTGTATATTATCATCACTAAAAAATCATTAAAAAAATTGTATTTTTTATTATTGAAATTGAAGTTTTATACTTGTAGTTTGGTCGAAAACGATAACGTGTGTTGAGGCAAATCGACGATGAATTTCGCTTTATTTCCCGTGTACCCCGTACTGGTGACTTGATCCATTTTGTATTGAGCTCTCAAGGACGGCAATAGAGCAGCAGTAACAGTCAAGCACTAAATATTATCAAAAGTAAACCTTGGTTAAATAAAATGTATAAAAATTATATATACAATATACAGGGTGTCATGGAAAGTTCTACCGAGCTTCAAATGAGACATTTAGGATGCTCTATGGGTGTACCCATAGAGATTTATTGTAATAAATGGTATTATATTTTTTTTAAATTTTAAAATAGAACTCATATCTCATTAAAAAATTGTCTTGCGAAAAAAATAATGTCAGATTTGAAATCGGGAGAAAAAATCTTGATGAATTGATATGTAACACGATTTTTTTGGTATCTGGCCACATTTGCGTCCATCAAGTGGCCACTGAGTAGCCGGCATGTGACCGAAACCAACATAATATGGTAAGGGACATTATCAGTTAGAATTTTATTCTCTACTCAGAGTCATTAGAATTATTTTATATTAAATTATGTGTCGCGTGCCATATGTTGGTTTGAGTCACATGCCGGCCACTCGGTGGCCACCCTGTGGACGTATGTGTGGCCAGATGTCAAAAAATCATGTTACATACCAATTTAACAAGATTTTTTCTCCCGATTTCAAATCTGACATTATTTTTTTCGTGAGACCATTTTTTACGGAGATACGAGTTCTATTTTAAATAATTTTAAAATTAAAAAAAAAATGAATATCATTTATTGTACCCTAAATGTCTAATTTGAAGCTCGGTAGAACTTTCCGTGACATCCTGTATACAGGGTGTTCCAGCATGAAAGGTAAGTAATAGGTGATTGAACATCTGGGGGACCCCCAAATAAGCCACCCGTTTTCATTTTTTCGATAAGTCAAAAATTGAAGATTTCGACAGTTTAGTAAAAAAAATAATGACTTAAAAATAAAAAAATTATTCCCTGTTATTCAGTACAAAAAGCTCACCTTAAAAGAGGGGTCACATCATTTTCAGTCCCTTTCGGCCCCTAACTCAAAAAATGATAAGAGAAAAATGATTAGAGACCAGAAATAAATTATGAGTGATAAAAGATAAATGCTAAGACATAATTGATAAGAGATAAAATAAAAGAGATAATTGGTAAAAGATAAATTATGAGAGATTAGAGACGAATGATAAGAGATAGGTGCTAAATGATAAGAGTTTGGAGATAAATAATTAGAAACAATAAGATAATTAAATAATAAGATATTAGTGATAAGAGATCAATGATTAGAGACTAGAGGTAAGAAAAAAATGATAAGATGAGTGATAAGAGAAGAGTTAGAGGCTGAAAAAGACTGAAAATGATGTGACCCCTCTTTTAAGGTGAGCTTTTTGCACTGAATAACAAGGAATAATTTTTTTTATTTTTAAGTCATTATTTTTGACATTTTAATGTCTTAGCTCTGGCACATAACCCTGGTAAATAACCGAAAAAAACGTTACCATAAAAGCGTAACGAAAAGAGCGTTACCAAAAAAGAAATGGGGTTGAAGATGAGGTTGGGGGTGGGAATGGGGTTGGGGTGAGAATTAGCCGGTATATAACCGAAAAAAAGTGTTACCAAAAAAAGCGTTACACTGTCACGCGCCGCAAGGTAACAAAAACTACGAAGCGACGACGAAAGACAATTATCGGAAAGACCATTTCGAATGTTAATCTGTTACGCTGACATGAGATAAGAGATATGTTGTACGTTCAAATTAGAACTAAATAATAAATTTAATGTAATTTAAGAGGTCGAATTGTTCAAGCCAGATTTTATGAAAACACTAAAATATTAGCCAGAAACTTGAGTGTACATAATTTTTTAATCTCCTTGGCCTTATGCCGTAACTGGAAGCTCCATGTATTTTTTTTTTTTATTATAATTCCACAACTAACCTAAATTTATTCGGTACTCCAACGAGACATGAAAATGTTCTATCGTGGTTGCAGACTCGGCTGAAAAATGGCTTTTTTTTACTTAACTGTCGAAATCTTCAATTTTTGACTTATCGAAAAAATGAAAACGGGGAGCATGATTTGGGGGTCCCCCAGATGTCCAATCACCTATTACTTACCTTTCATGCTGGAACACCCATATATATATATATATATATATATTGTAATATAAACTCACCTGAATGACGGCGGTAAAATGCATGACGAGCGGCTGGAGTAGTAAGTTGGATTCGGCAACAGAGGTTTTATTCACTTCGTCTTTTTGTACTCTTTGCACCATCGGACTCTGTTGAGCGGGGCCGACCGTACTTTGCACGTCGCTCTCGTCGATGGTCGGTGCACGGCCCATTCGACTGGAAGCGCGAGCCACTCGAAGTTCCTATTTAAATAGGTACCGACCGAGTCGGTCAGTTAGTGTGGAGGACAATTGAAAACAATAATAATTTGTAATACTAACTTGCAGCGTGGAAGACAGCTGTTTGCTACCTCTGGTCATCATACCGTGGAGGGCGACCGGATGCTGAGGAATATCGATGCTGACAACGCCGATGGTGAGCAAACCGGAGTTTTGGTCTTTTGTCCGTCGACTCATGCTCGAGTACAGCGTTTGCGATTTGCCCACGGTCACCTTGACCACCGTCTGCTGGTTGGGCGCAACGCCTTCCAGCAAAACGATCATCGTACGTCCCACGTGACCGGTCAGCGAACACTCCAAGCTCGGCGGTCGCGTTTTCTTGCGGAACGTCGAACTCGTGTGTAAGTTGGTGATTTCCGCTTCCAGTTTTAGACCGCTTAAAGTGGCCAAAAGTTTTGTCCGGTGAATTCGCACCACCACAAATACCATGAGTCTCGTGCGCTCTTCTTTTGCCACTTCTTTTATATATAAAAAAAAAAAAGATATAAATTAGTATGCGTTAGATTTAGCCAGTACAGTGGGGATGGGGGGGCATAGTGGCAGTGGCGTGGTGAAGAAGTGTTAAAATTCTTCGGGCAAACATATTTCACGAAGAACCCCCCCCCCCCAGCCACAATTATTAACCGTGTTATTTATCCAATATTTTTTTCTAATTGCATTTAGTTTCTTTAACACTCGTTAAATTTGACTGATCTGAAAAAATAATACGTGCTGGAAATCTTAAAGATAGTATACAAAGTCAGTCCTTCTCTGTTGCGTACATGAAATTATTATAAAAAATAAATTAACAACTTCGTTTCTATTCTTTTAATGTGTAAAATCAAATTTAAACAACAGCAAACAAATAAAATAAAAACGAGATAATTATTCGAATCATTAAAGCTTTTTCTAATATTGACGATGAGCTCGCCAATATATTAATTGCTTATAACATTATTACAAAATATATGGATTAGAAAGCAGGCTGCCACTTGCCGTATTTGTGTCACAATGTTATCTACATTGTGCGCTATACTCTGTAGAATGTATTAACTAGTTTATTCGGTATGGGCTACAGCTACGCATGTATTAAAACTAACAATAACATCATACCTTAAGTAAGATGTATGATGACCAGATGGACCACCCACCCCCAAAAAAATCGGACAACCGCCCCTAAAAGTCACGGTTACCACGCCACTGCATAGTGGGTCACGGAGAGGTCACAGATCCTGTGATGAAATCACTTTTAAATAAACGCTTCGATGCGAATCTGTGGACAGTATGTTCAAACTAGTTATTTTTATGTACTTAAAATTTAATATTTAGTCTTGTGCAGCAGGGTTGATCGTCTGTCTATAAAAATGTACCGTCATAGTTACCCATATATCGTCGTAATTAACAGTATAATGAAAATATTTTCATTACCCGTTCACTGATGATTCACACACACATAGCAACCTAGAAACTGACTACGGCCAAAGTGTAAATTTACCCTATTTTAGGGTTTTTTCCTTAATAAAACAAAAATTTGACTAGATTTTTGAGAAAATTGTATATGTTATAGTTCCATTTTAGATCTACCTTTGGTCTAATTTTCAGATCTAAATCTCTAAAACTTTGCTTGAAAAAGTGAAATAAAGAAAAAAATTCTATCCCTTCTAAGGGAAAGGGTTTATGATATTTTTTTTTTCATTGTTAATGTTTATCGACAGTACTATGTTTGAAGAACAATTCATATAAATTTGGAACATTTTCGACTATTTTTTAAAAAATTTATAGAGCATCGTAATTTTAAGTTGAAAAATTTGTACATTTTTTTGGTTGTTTTTCCCCATTTTTTTATGGGCAAGGGGTGATTTTTTTTAAATTTTTGACCCGATAAAGTACCTTCCAGGTATGATTTCTAATCTATAGAGTTGCTACACGAAGAAATCGGTTCAGCGGTTTACCAGATATCGTGGGGGGTCCAGACACAAAAATTAAAAAAATTAAAACATCATTGTAAAAACAATACCTTCTCAGTTCCGCATCGAAGCTAAAAAAACAAAACAAAACAATTATTACTCATGTTAGTTTGTGAAACGGTAGGCACCGGAGTGCCGGACGATCCGTCTTTATCGATTTCTTCGTTGGACTTGGCTTCTGGTAACACATCAAATTTGCTGCGTGCACCCTTGACCGCCGCTTCAGACGTATCGACACCTAGGGAAATTCTCTGCGTCACCGTTTTCGTCTCGGGCATAGTGGCGTACAATTCCAACAAATGGTAAACAGTCTTCCAACATTTCGGCGTCCACGAAATCATATCCGAATCGACTTCATCGATAGGCTTCATAGGAGTGACGCGTTCAAACTCGGACAAACTCGGTGTCAGACACTCAATGGCTGCTCCTGGCGTTTCATTTAAATTCATGTAACCCTTGACACTTTTACCGGTGGATCTTAACTTTTGAGCCAACGTTTGATGTTTAGAACGTATCGACGGCGACGGTGAAACGATAATTGGCTTTGTTTCGCTAGCCGAACGTGGTAGGAAACGTTTAGCCAATAAAGGTGTCGACAAGGGTATCACCTCCGATTGATCTAAAGAAAATCGTAAATCAAAAGACGCTGTTGATAAAAATTGTTAAGAAATTATTATTTACCAGACTGAGAGGCCGAGTGCTTTGCACTCGAGCGCGATACATATGGTTGCGGCTGTTGTTCGCGAAGTTCCGTTTGCGTATCTTTCACGTTCTGATACATGTTAGTGATTTGATTGAGAAGTCGCAGCAATGGCATGTTAACCTTTTATTAAAAATCAAAAGGTAAATGTAATGTGCAAATAATATTTATAAATGCAATAACTTCATATTTTTGTCATCAAATCTATAATGCTCACCTGCTGAGATATATATCTAACTGAAACGGATATATTAAAAGAAGTGTTAGAATGTTTTTTCAATTGACCTCTGGATAAGTACAACATGTTGCGCTTCTGTCGTCTAATATCGTCTACGACCGTCATATCTGCAGACCGTTGGACATCGCATTCAATACTGACTCGGTCGCATACAAACGCAGGCACTTCGGGCAATAAATCCAACCAAGGGGTTTCTGAATATTAAGACACAAATTTTTAATATAACTATTTGTACTTATTCATAAAGAGAAGAATTTTTTAAATGCATTACCTTTCTTAGACTTATTTTTAAAAAGTTTAGATTTCTTTACTGTCTCGGGAAGTTTTCCATACTCGCTAACGACAATATCTATCCGCATAGTTTCTAGACTACCGACAAGAGACAAGTTGGATCCCCATGAATCGAGAGCAGCCATGCCGTTATTACCTGAATATCAAATAGTAAATATTTAAGTAATCCTAAAAAAAAAAATTAAAAAAAACTAATAAAAAACGTAGGTTTACTTGAACTGGTATTGACCATTTGTTGCGGCATAACTCCTAGACTGGACAATAACGGCTCGAAAATAAGATGAGCGTCCAGAAGACGTAAAGAATTATACTTAGGAAAAATATTGTATCGCATCGAATCGGAATCGCCTAATTCGGCTGAAGATTGATTTTCGGATGCAGTTGGGGCAGTTTTCAACTCTGAACCCCACAAAGGTCTTTTCCGCAATTTCTATGGATTTAAAAATTACAATATCAATTTGTTTTTGATATCAATGAAAATTATAAATTGTAACATTTATGCAAAAACATTTACCCAACTCCTGAGTTTTTTTGCTTTGGCAAGTCTACTGCTAGGAACTCGGGCATCGTGATTGACAAACTCTTGTTTAGCCATCCACGTGTAAAGATCTTCGTTTCGGTCTGATTTTTGCGGGGAAAAGTTGACTTTTTCTACGCTGCCCATTGAGTTATCTCCTTCTACGGCAGACTGATAAGCGGTTTCGCCCAACAGGCCTTCGGCTATGTTTTTGTATGTTTTCGGCACGGTATCGTCCAGTATCGGAAACATTACACTGGCTCTAGACGAAACAGGCATCTGGGTGGGCATCAGCGATTTACAGTTCTTCGGTTGATCACAGGACGATGCGTGCGAGCTCACAACGTTGCTGCTATCCATCGGTTGATCTGCCATGCTCGTCGGAGAAAACGGATCGTAGTAATGAGGAGGCTCGTTGCCGTAATTGCTTTTAGACCCTACATTACACAGATGACAATTTTTAACATATTATTGAAAATAGTTTTATCAGCAGCGAAAAATAATTGTATTTATAATTTGTTAAAAATGCAAAAAGCTTTTTGTACGCATCTAAAACAGATAAAAAATATATCAATGGGTATAGTGCTTTGAAAATTAAAATTTACAACATTAGAATTTCTTTACATAGAACAACAATATCGATAATATTAATTATTGTTATTAATCGATAATATAAAATTAAAGTTAAATATATATGTTTTTTTTTTTTTTACAGTTGCTTCTATATTACATTAATTTATCTTTTATCATTTATTGTTAAAAAAAAGGCGATCAACATGAATCAAGCAAGTCACAGTTATATTATACAGTTTTAGTACCGGGGTTTCAATAAATAAGTCATGCAACGGATATAAAACAAATGTTACTACTAAGCACTTAGTTCGTGGATTCGAAAGCTCAAGCTGCACATTAAATAAAACACGTATAAAATGTATATCAACACACAAAGAAAAATAATACAAAAGCTAAAAAAGCACAAAAACTTTTTTTCAATTTTTATATACAAAATATACTAGCGAATTATATGAACGTATACATGTCGTACCACATTTGCTCGTATGTGATTTGAGAACCCTTTGCAACGTAGATACGTGCGAATGACGTTCGCTGGTCAGCAACATAGCACACTCGTCTGTTATGCCTTCGCCGCCTTCTTCCCCTGAAGCCTCCCCATCCTTTAGCACATGACCAAAAAATACACATATTTACACACAATGGTAGTAAGTACCCAAGGCGGCAACAGTTTACAATTATTATTATTATAATGTGATCGAATCCAAAAATGTATACACACGTATGTAAGTTTATATATATATATATGATTTTATTGTATTAGACATAAATGACCCATATAAGCTGCTTCCAATATAAACAACACTAATAGTGCAATGAATAATATTATTAACACACTGAAACGGCTATCCCATAGTATCCCACATGTGAAAGCATTATACCAAATGATTTTTTTTTTTTTTTGTTAAAAATAATGATACACAATTTAATAATATTGTATACAATATTGTTTTGCTTACATATAAAATCGGGATTGTTTGTAGCTCTGCTAGGCGAGTTTAAATAGGCTCTATTGTAATATACCTGTTTTGGAAAACGACACTAATTTGGTTTTACAACAACAAAATCAAAAAAATTACACCTCAGTAAGAATTTACATAATTTCAACTTAGCGGAGAAAAATAAACAATTATTTTTTTTTCTCTAGATTATAATATGCAATAAATTAATATACCTCTTCAGGGTCCGAAACGGCAAATGTCACATTCAGAGGTTTTAAATTGTGATGTCGACTTTTAAAATTGTGCTCGAGCAACAAAGGAGTGTACAGGATATTTTTCCATTGTCGGCTCAGTACAATTACACCCTACGAATGAATAATAGTTAATATACAATTTAAAAAAAAAAAAAATTATACTTTAATCAAGTTAAAATTGAAAAACTAACTTGTCTTAAAATCGACAAATTTGGCAAGAAAGGATCTTTTAGATAGGCATCAATTGCCACGTCGCTTTGAAAGAGATATTTTTGCAAAATATTACACAGTTGGCACGAAGGGTCTTCTTGAAGCGTCTTGGCAAGTGGAGTCGTATGTCTATATCGGCTCTGCACATTTATAACAATTTATTATTAATTATTATTAGTTAAATACGAGTAGAAACAACTACAAACCTTGAGCGGTATATGAAGACTTTGTATGTCAAGTGCTTCGGCCATTAAACAAGTCACGACGGCGGTACACCGACGATATCTTGTTCGTAACATGTGCACAACACGCATTGCAAAACGATTACTGGGATTCATCCAAGCGTTAATAGCTGGCGACGCTGTGCTTAATAAATTCCAATCGTGTCTACGAGAATATAATACAACGTTATTGGTTTTTAGTTCTGTAGAAAAAAAAAACATTAACGTATAACAATCACACAAACCTTGTATAATCAATTTTGCGGGTAATCGGAGTCAACGGGGGAGCCGCAAAGTTAAACCAAACTTGACATACTTCCATAACGCACGAAGAGGCGTTTTTATCGATTTCCAGTTTTGCAATTGTATTTTCACTAAAACAAAATATATATATATTTGATTTACATTTAAACTTGCAAAAAATGTACTATGAAGCAATTTGATGTACTATAAAGCAATATTGTAAATTAGCTCACATTAGCTGTTCTTCGTTGTTGATATTTGTTTCCGAAGGAGTTTTTACTTGCTTAGGAGTAGCTGTAGGCGTAGAAACACCCAAATCTTGTTTGCTAGAATCTAAATATGATAAATTTAGAGAGTTTAATAAGTTTAAAAGAAAAAAACCATTGAAAATTAAATTTAAAAAACTACTCACTGGTAACATTTTTAGTTTCTACGTTATCTTCGGTTTTCGGTCGACTTTCCGAATGTGATATTTTACCACCGAGCGATTCGGGTATTGGTGAAGGTGTTGGCACGTCTCTGATCTCCCTATCGTTTTCTTTTTCAAAGTTAGACCGTTTGACGACCTGGAAAAATCAAATACACATCCATCCAATACTACACCATCATTTACAATTTTTGATTTGTGAGTAAAAAAATTGAAAAAACCTTAAATGAGATTCCTTCGAAACCACATTCCATCATGATGAAACCCATTTTTTCATCGGAAATATTCGTAAAAGCCATTTCATCACAATCGGCATTCATGTTGTTTTGTAACTCTGACGACGATTTCGTCGTTTTAGAGCAAGTTTTAAACATCACTTTGGAACAATGACTAGGTATTGCAGTTATTATGGCGTCTTTCAGTATTGAACATTCGTTGTGCAATCTGCGCAATTGGGCATGTGCTCTGTCTAATTATTATTTAAGATGAGAAATATTTATTATTAACAGACACAAACATATTATGCACAATTATTATTATTACAAGTACTACATACTTATGTGTAATGTGATGACAGTCTCTTCTTGTTGTTTTTCGGATGTTTCGATGTAGACAGGTTCTCCGTGAGTGCTCTCCGGATCAACTTCGGAGGTAATATTTAAACCGAGCAAAAAAGCTTTGCCGGCCGCTCTACTCAATACACCTTTTTTCTGGCCACTCGGCGCTACTACCGGTGGATGATACGTTTGGACGATTTCTCTAGCCTTTAAAACATAAATACATATTTTTGGATGGAAACCCAAATTCGACATAATCCATTTTTAAGATTAAAAATATATTAACCTGTTTACTGAAATGAAACTTAGTAGTGAGCTCTTCCAAGCATATGGCCATCAAAGACACGCACGTCAAATCTCTGATATTATCCAAAGCAGAGAAAGATATAACTTCTTCGACAATTGAAGCTTGTAGTACACAAATATTGATCTAAAACACATAGAGTAATAAGTTAATTTATCCAAGTAGTGAATGGTTGTTGTTCAACATATATCCGAGTAAATAAAGAAATCATTAACTTGTTCCCTTCGATTAAATACAGTGCAATAAATGTAAAACGTAAAACTTGTTGTAATAATATTTAAAAAAAAGTACTTTTGGTAGAACTACAGTCCCTTGCACTTGAGACGCTATGAACTCTTCGTACACTCGATTTGGCTGATGTAGGTCGGCGGGCTGAGCATCCTTACTAGTATTTGGTTTCACTCTTTCTACTGTACTTCTTTTGCTACCTCCGCCTTGCATTTGACTTAAATATTTGTCACGTTTTAATATATTTGCCGCTTCGACTCGACTTATACAACTCGAATGCAAGTGGTTTAAAACGGAAAGCGGATGAAGGTTACTAAATGTCGGTGTTAAACTGTCGACGAATCTACGTATAAGCACGAAAAAAATATTTTAAATTAATAATATATATATATATATACATATATTAATTGTACATATTTCTTTGAAGCAACTTACTTTTGAAGTGACTCCAACGCCAACGGTGTGATCATTAAGTCTATGTCTCCTTTGAGCTTGACTACAACCGTTGTACGAGTACCAGTCTCACTACGCAACGATAACATTTCTTCTTCACAATCTAAAGAAAGTATTATCGGGACACTTACATTATTGTTACTAAATTTCAGGTTTGTTTAGAGTAAATAACAATCATACCGATTTCAAAAGCTTCCTTAGCGTTTTGAGTGAAGTCAAATTGCGACTGATCCCAAGGGTATTTCCTAGAACTTTGCGGTTGAGCCGCAAGTGGACTAGACTCTCTTTCTTTGGCTTCGGCTCTTGGTACCATTTTTAAACTCGTAAAGCCCTCGTTTATCGTTTCAAATTTAGGCAAATATCGGCTACCTATTTATTTGAAATAAAACTTTGTTAACACGTATCAAATTTTAGCGTGTAGTAACGACATACTAATAAATACAAGACGATCATCGACTGTACGTTGATAAATTGGAACTGTAAATACATCGGATCCGGCCGGCAAAGACGTTTGAGACCAATTACTACACGACGTTTGTGATAAATGATTAGTGTACGTCGAAAGTAATAATGGAGAATCTACAATCGGCTTGTTTATGTGCATATGCAAGTTGACAAGCGCCAAGTCTTCTTGCGATGAAACAGCCGACATAAACGACGTGCTAGATATTGAACGAGAGTCTGACGAATCGACAATTCCACCGTCCAATTCCTAAATAAAAAAACAACCCGTCGACGTCAATTGAGTAACATATAAGTTTGATTACTTTAAATTTTCCAAAAACATTGTTTTTCTTACGTTTTCAATTAAACGGTGTTTATTCTTTAGAAGTGAGCTGTGAATCTCTGTGTGCGCATCTCTATTTATGTCCACGGCTAGTAGGGTTTTTTCGTCGTCAGCTGTATCACACTGCATAAAACAAAACAAAAAAAGTTATAAATTACAAATAATAAGCAATGAAAATAAAAAAATTAATGTAAACGGGCCAGACTAACATCTATAGGTTCAAGGTTTATTGAAGTATAATCCTGAACTTCAGAAGAATTGTCACTTTGAGTACGCGTAGCCGGACTACTCGAAACAATGGTAGTTTCGCTTCCAAAATGATTCCTAAAAAATATTAGTTTTATGGTAAAAAAAAAATACAAATAGTTTAATAACTCATTTTTAGGTGAACTGAATACTGACTTGTTTAACAATTCATTGTAAATTAGTCCACTGTTCAACGAACTTCTTAACGAAGAACATCTCGCTGAACCCAATTGAAAATGATCGTTACTTTTTTGGCTAGAAGCCAGGGTGAGATCTTCTTCGGCTGAAAAAAACACTTCGGACGGATTATCGCTGGTAATTGAAATTGTCCGTGAATACGGATGTTTGAGACTATTCAAATTCAATGAATTTGCAGATTCCACATTGCACGCGGCGGCTACCTGTAAATCAAATCAATGAAGGAGGTATATTCTCAGATCCGATATTGTAAAACTTGTAAAAAAAAAAAACAATTAAATACACAGTTGACCAGCCATTGTTGGACAAATAAAAAATACGTACTGAATTCGTTTGGGAACTCGACACTAATGCGCTATACTGTAAGGCTGTCGAGTTAAAATAATCAACGGCCAATCTAGAATCGGATACACTATATTTTGGACAAGCCCCGTTATCGATGGACAATGTATTTTCGGGTACGCTCAATATGGACCTATTAGTATTGAACTTGTGAGGTGGTGATTGTGGTCGTGTGTCCAGCGGTAGTGTTGGGGTCGGGCTGGCATCGATAAGACGCGAGTACGGCACTTCTCGACTAATAGTTTGTACTCCGTTCAGTCTAAAAAAGGTGCAATCAGTGGTACTTTGTTTTTTCTCTCATTTATTATTTGTCTAACTAAAACAAACCTGCTGGCCGTAGACGAATACGAAAAACGTCTAGATAACGGGTGGGTAGGCAACGGAGACGGTATATCCCCACTATCTATAATGTATGGTGCACTTGAAGGAGTAATGGGACTGCCTTTTATCCCTTCAGGCTGATCGTGGTTTATCTATCAGGAATCAATTAAACATTTTTAAATATTTGAAATACTAGTTTTACCGTACGTCCAGTACTTTTCAAACGCGTAATTAAAATTACTGTTATAAGCAAATCAAACTAAAAACAGTGAATTATTATGGCCAAACCGCTGGATTAGAATTATTAAACATTAAGCAAATCAAATTAATTACTTTGAAAATTAAAACACATATATTTATGAGTGTACTTAAATAGTCTAACGATCAAAAATTATGTTGACAACAAATTTTGTGAACATAATCAATATAAAACAAAATAAAACAAAATCAATAAAAAAAAAAATTGTATTTTTAATATTAACATTAACTGATTTTTAATTAACCGAAATCTGTTCACACTGTTTTATCTGTTGATTACTTTAGAGGCATACTCCAGGTTAAGATCTCGTAAATTGCTTAAAGAGGGGCCCAAAAAAGGATTATCATAATATATAGAATTCTTTAAGTTAATCATATTTAAGTGTTACCAGGAGATTAAGTTAGCATTTGGTAAATTTGTAGATTAAATTTTGTACCATATATTATTCAAGTAAAAGTTAATTATATGATTTTTTATTCGAATAATTTGTGGGAAAATGATTCAAATGACATTGGTCTGAGTTTGTGTAGTTAGAGGTTAAATTGACAGCAGAGAGTGCTGCAATTTTTTAACTCTAAAGCAATTGGTAATTTTGGTGACCACAATATATGATTAGGTATGGGTAAAATGTTATCTAGGAGATACCTTTTTTTTTTAGCATGTTTATGTAGCGATGGTGTAAAGTGTGAAGTGTATGTATGATCAATATTTTGTGTATATTTCTGCGAGTTAATGAGCTGTAGTTTTATATTCACTTTACATTTAAAAATAGACAGCAAAATAAAATAGAAATTCAATTTTAATAATTTTTGAAAGCCAAATGTCGAAAACTTGAAACTGATTAAAAAATACGAACAAATATTTAAAAATTCACTACAAATTAATCAAGTCTAATCAATATTCAAGGTAAACTGCTATGTAGTAGATCGTTAGTAACATTTTTCAAAAAAAAAAACTTAAGCTTTCAAATAATTAATTTTTTTTAAATTTTTTATTTGTCCATGCAAAAAAATACGACCTTACGCTGAATTTCTCTTACCTTGTTTGCTTTCCTGTTGTTTGGCCACTGAGGAACTGGATTGTCATGAATTATAACCCCACTGCCAACGTTATATGGAGGAGTATGGAATATCAACTGACACTCATGTAAAATACTCTGTCCAAATCCAGGATCTTTTCCATTTTCGTTGATTCTATAATAGAACATATTATGTAGATTAAATTATTTATCTAGACACATTATACAGCGTGCCAATGTTTGAACTAAATTTAGTAATCGTATACTGTTGTCTGCCGTGAAATACCTTCTGTGTGCAAAATTACACATCGGTTTTACAGACAAGTTATATACATAATAAGTTTTTATTTCGTAGAACCCTTCATAACTATAATAACAATTAAAATATACATTTAAGAACAAACCTGAATGCAGCTATATTGACACCGTCTTGAATATCGTTTTTCGAAGGTTTGAAAAATCTCTGACCGTTTTTATTGCGACCGAAAAAGGCACATCCGCCAACACAACCACACTTGCCGGTGACGAGACAGCGACTATCACTCGGCCACAAAAACCAAAGTCTTTTATAATTTTCATCGTGGAGCTTTAAGTACCTGTGAATAATAATGTATTGAATAGTGTAAAAAAATAATTGGTAAGATTGTAATGATAAATTTAGAATATAATACTTGTGTTGAACAAGATGAAGGTTTTTGTCGGAATCGGATAACGAAGATGCGAGTTCCAATATAAAAGGACCTAACGATGCCGATCCAATTTCTAGCCACATATCTTGGTTATCGGAAAAATAACCACTAGTATTACTAAAAACAAAATTAATTAATAATATTTAATTTAATCTCATCGTTTCTTAAATTATCTTAACATTTTCTTTTTTCATTATTATGCGACAAAATTTGTAAACGTCATAAAAAAAAAAAAAAAGTATAAATTACCGATGTTGAGAACGATTACTTCCAGTAGTATTCGTATTGCTGTTGACGCCAGAAGTGTTTTGTACGCCAACGAATATGAACTGCTTAAGCTTTACGGCCGGAATAACCAGCGTAATACCGGACTTCAAATGGTTACTGTGCAAGTTACAGTGAGCAAGTCTTAACGGAGAAGCCTAAACACAAATAAAATGTGTTTAATAATAACACACGTTAATCGTTTACACGTAATAAACTCTCAAGTGTGCATACCCAAAAGTTAATAGCCGTAGTCGATTCAACCAAATATATGTCTACAGCATCGACTGCCACACGAGTCATCCGATACTTGATTTCGTCGGCAGTTGGACACCGATATTGAACTTGAGGATCGTTATGTGGGCAAGTCGATGGAGGTGACCCGTGATGACATTCCAGTGGCATATGAGCTGGTCGGAGCTGATTCTCCGCGTCGAACATCAGTAAAAACAAAGTTTCCAGGCCGGTTACGACGTGAAATAACTAACAGTACACAAAAAAAGAGGTTGATCATTACATATTAAGCTTATTGCGTTTTATTTATAATAAGAAAATTCAATCCGATATTCATCAAAACTAACTTGTGGAGCAGTGACTTTTCCGCTGAGTTTTCCCAACTGTATTTCTAACAACCAAGCGTACTCCAGTGTATCTTGATTGAGATTTCTTTCAGCATCACTGAACATAGCATGGCCTCTTATCTATAAAAATAAAACACTTGCGTATTAGTTTTCATCAAAAGAATAAATTGATGATTAACAACACAAGCTTACTTGTAAAGCGGAAAGCATTAAATGCCCTTGATTTAAATGATGATCTTTCAACGATCTACTACTCAATTTATCACTAGATATCAGGAGACTAGGCGATAATAAAAGTTGCAACTGTGTGTCTTTGTAACCTTTTTTCATTTCCAAGCCGAAACGTTCTATCATGATGACAGGACACGGTGGATCGTTATCGTTACAGTTCTAAATATAAATTAAAAGCTTTAATGATTCAATTTTTTCGTAATAATAATAATTACATTTTTAACTTTTCGTTTTGTTACCTTTATGAGATGAGCTTGCAGATCGTGCATAGTGATTGAAATAACTACATCTAACGGTCTATATTCTCGTGGATCTACTTGAATTGTCTTTGTATCGGAATGACTACCGTTTTCCGGGTCAGCAGTTTTATCTGCGGTCGAGCTTTTAGGATTCAACTTATCATTCATGTCGGTAAATATCTGATCCTCGCCAAAAATACTTTCCTAAAAAAATTATTTGTTGAATAATAAATTGAATAAAATCGTTAGAATTATTTGTTTTACTTTTAGATGAAAGAAATGCCTTAGCCAAGACCCGTACAAAAACATAACTGAAGATCCAATCTCTAATTCTAAACTGACTTTGTCCGATGGTAAAGTGGTCGGATCGAATTTCTGTCCGTCGTCCTAAAATTATTATTATTTAATTACTCAAATATCAATAAAATAATACGTATATTTTTTCCTTCATACTCGAGTCCAATGAATGGAAACATTTTGTGCTTTATGATGTTGCATTCGCATTGGAGACAATAGTTTTTCTTCTTTCTCCGGTGTAGTGATATTTGCTTGCGGAGGTGGCCCATACATCGGCATAGGGTGATAAATAAAATTAATCGACAGGGCTACAATCGGCATTGTCCAACAATCGACCCAACCGAGGCTAATTAATTAAAAAGATAAATTTGTATTTAGTATTGGTTTTAAAAAAAGAAAACATTTACTCTAATTACACATTGTGTGCTACCTTTTTTGACAAACATTTTTCCATTTTCGACCATTGTCGTTCAATTTTGATTTGTAGATTTTGCCGTCGCGTCCAAGAATCTTAGCGTTTTTATTCAACGATAACAAAACGCTTCGGCTAGTGTACACTTCGGGCAAGTACATAGACAGATCTATACTTTCTCCTTGTATCCAAAATCGAAGAGGTAAAGTCTCGGGTAAGAATTCCGTAAACGGAAGATCGAATGAAAAATCAAATAGGTCGCCACTGACCGCAATAAGAGCTGCAACATTATTTGTGTAGACAAACGTATAAAAAAAAACCGACACAAGAAATATGAAAAATATTTACCGTTTTCTTGATTTTGTGACGAGCAATCAATCCAGTTATATTCATTACTAATAGTTATCAGTTCGAAATCTTTGAAAAGGATTGTAAATTTCCAAGTGTAAGGCACAAAATGTAATATGTCCGGTCTGCTCTTGCTGGCCCAATCGTTAATCATTTCTATTAAAACAAATTATGTCGGTACATAATATTGTTATAAACTATTGGAGAGAGTAAATTTTTTTTTTTTTTTTACACAACATGCACAACTCACCTTGGAAGAAACCTTTATGAGCGTAAGTAAACCACCCAGTAGCTTTACAGCCGGTCAAGTTAAACAACCACTCTTGATGATCGTTCCATTGAATTGGATAGTGACAATGAGCTGTAAACTCTAACGTTTCGCTTTCCAACAGACTTCGAAACTGACGGTTATAATACATTAGTAAAAAAAAAAAAGTCAGTAATAGAATTTTTTTTTTTTTCCATTACTTGTAAACTGGTGGTAGCCTCCAAATGAAGAAGCTGTCCAGTGATTTTGGTAGTATAACCGTCGTGCGACACCAGCCACGGTAATGTTATTTCCATGTACGAGCCAGGACCAACGTTGATGTGGATTGCGTTTGTTTCCTAAAAAAAAATTGAATATAGTCGGTTATTCAAAATTGTAATTTAGTTTTCAAAAGGCTTACTCTGTTTTTAGAAAACAAGATGTCAATTGTCGATTCGTAAAGAGTATTTAGTCGAATATCGAATGCTTGGACACGGCGTTTTTCACCGGGCACAGGCGGTTCACTGACCTTTGAAGTTTAATGAAAAATTTAATTAACTATTAATATACAAAGAAATAGTTGAAACATTAAACATTTCATTTTTACTTTGAGTGGCTGATAATCTTGAGGAAAGAACAATTTGAACAAATGTTCCCTTTGTCTGTCTGCCCAAGGGCCGTAACTGAAATCTGTCCCTTTACCGCACTGAAATACGAAAAAATGTAATTAAATAAATAAATGTACATTTTCAAGTGTGATTACTTTTATATCTATTCCCCAAATAGGTGGTTTTGATTCTACAATATCTCCGTTAGCCAGTTGCAACATTTCTGGCTCTTCGGGTACAAGACCTGAATAAAAAAATGGAAAGCATTAGAATTAAATAAACAATGATCATGGGGCTAGCCCCGTTAAATAATTTTAAATACCTGGTTCATCCATATAATAATAAAGTTCTATATTATTTGAAGAAAACACAACAAAACCAGCTCCCATATATCGGGGTGGGTCGTCTGCCATGCCGGTGTACTTAGGACTAGGTGCTAATATCACCTACAATAATATATTGTAATGATATGATTAAAATCGTATCTAGTTATTTATGTTCATTTTAAAAGTGCAGCAGACTTCTTACTTTAAAATTTTCAGCTTTACATTTGACAAAGTGCATAAAATGATCCAGCTTAGAAGCCGCTGGCTTAGTGGAATACACAAAATGCGCTTCTTCAACATTGACTAGTAGTGTAGTAGGTATGAGACGGTTTCCGAACACGACTCGGCCCTAATTATATACAATTTTAAATAACTCTGATGAACAATGTTAAAAGAGAACAGTAGCAAAATATGTAACTTACTGACGAAACCTCCATTTTTATCACAGGTATAAGATCCCTCCAACTTTTACCGAGCACCGCTTCTTGTTGTTTGTCTTTACTTTTTTTCGCTTCTTCTTCTTCTAAATAAAAAAAAACTCGAGCGTTAATAATTGCTTTTTTTATAATAATTATGTGTTCAACTAATGCCAATTAACGCAGTTACCGATTATTTTACAGACAATATATGGATACCAAAATGATAACTGTAAGTACTTTCTTAACTTACTAGTGCTTAGGTCATCCCACGGTATAATTGACGGATCGAGATTAAACATTTTTTCTAGATTACTGTACATTTTACAACGGTTATATACATGCATTTCAAACCCATTTAACATAACAGACAGCCTCGTATCAGAATGTGACAAATCTTAAACAATAAAAAAACATTAAATATAAAACTCGAGGCCTGCTAATTGTACAATATACAATTACCTTCGGACACATCTTTGGGGACATACGATCGCCACCAACGGAATATTAACCAACCATCTTGGACTCTAATCGTATAATCTTCAGTGATATAAATAATATCTCTAAACATTATTTTACCCGATAGAGCGCAAACAGTGAACGATCCTGGAAAACGTAATTCGTTTAAAATTAATTAAATAAAAAAATTACACTAATAACTGTTAAATATCGTAAATGTAAATAATTATCTTACCTATGCTGAGATAGCCTTTGGTAACATAGAATCTGGTTAATAATCTAGTGACGACGTATGCCGTTACCCTAGAATGGTAATAAGTGATGTATATCACCCACACCATTCCTAATATAAGCGAAAACAGCAACCAGGCAAAATTGCTGTCCACTTTAATATCGTCCAAAGGTCTACCGGTCAAGTTCCATGGAGAATCGGCCTCCATACGATGGACCTTATCGTAAATAAGAGTTGTATCTTTATCCATGGTAACTAATTATTAGTTCATCCACATCTAAAACCAAATAACAAAATATGTAATAAATAATACACATATAATTTAATGCACTGTTGTGTATTGCTCATGATTAAACTACATAGTATTAGTGGTAGTAGATACTAAATAAAATACCTATTGCCAGATGGTTTAATCAGTTAACGATTTTATTGTGACAATGGGAAATATTCACTGCCACCTTACCAACTCGGCTATTAGTACTCTTCACGTTAGAGGCATCTTATAGTAAACAATTTTTCACATCGTTTAACTACAGCTTACGGACGGTATAACTTGATAATAGTGGTCTGTCTAAAGAAGACGTTTAAGAGATAGAAATAAATAGTATAAAAGACATCCATTTTTTTTTTTCTATTAGGTGTTAAGCTGTTGATTTAACCGACACGAACCAATTTATTTACATAAAATACAAACTATAAGTCTACATTATCGATAAATTACCTTTGACAATGATTTAAATGTGTTAAAAAAAGATAACCAAAGTTTCTAACACTACAGAAGTTAAAGTTGATGAACTAATCGAATAACAAAGTGGTTTAAAATTTGTTAGCGTGTATTTTTGTATTACTCAACACTGAAATAACACAAAATTGACGAGATAAATGTCTGGACAATAAGACGCAAGTGAGATACAAAGAATTTTAAAATTTAAGGATTGTTACTGAAAAAAAAAAAAGCCAGCAGAATTAATACTGGCTGTATTATTATACTAATTGTAGTCATGACAAGTTCTGTACAACAACAAGTTATGTCTGTTAAGGATTGCCTGACCAAACTAGATTAACTCGACTGACTGTAACAAGCTCTCGAGCACTCGTTGTCCTTGCAAATTTTACACATCCAATACAGTGTTTATACAGCTGTGAGAGTATTGTAGTACTGATAGTGCTGGACAAACCTTAACCAATAATAATATTGTCACCGGACCAAACAATTGCCATTGACGACTCGGGCGATTTCAGACATTGTTGTTTTTTTTTTCAATTCTTTCCCACCAGAAGAACCAAAATTATTCCACTGTTTGTTTATATTATTTTAAGACAGTTGTATGACAGTCGGTGGTGACAACATGTCTGCACACACTTTTTTGATGAAAAATTATATAATACATAAAATTTTAAAACCAGTTAAAACTTACAACACGTAGTGTTTCGAGTGATTATATTTTGAACACAATTATTATTATAGTGATTATGGTATGACACGCCTATCCGTCGATAACAAAAATCATGCGGTTCAGTGGTTCTCAAAAAATAGCAACTTATAATAATGAAATAAATCCTATTATTTTTACTGTCGATTAATTAGCAAGCAAGCACTAATTAACAGCTATTATTGTTGCCTCGATGTAGGTAATAATTATTGACGTTATTTTTGCAAACAATAGAGAACAATTATTACCCGGACGCTGTCTTGCTTTATTAATGGGAAACTCCTATTGGGAATTCGAATCACAATATTATTCTTAAGCAACAGCCAGTTTTAAAAATTGCAATTTAAAACGGTCACGATTATTACTACGGTTTTTAAATTTTTACAAATGACACAATAAAGATTAAAAATTATAATATTTATCAGTGTTACTATTTACCTATTATTTAAGTAGCCATAGATATAGAGGATCTCCGCCATTACTAAATATTCAATGTTATGCAATTAACGTGGAACGCATTGTAATTAATATTACAGTCAATAGAGTTAATAATTGATCTGTGCAATTAACTGTTAATTGCACAGATTATATGGAAATATTCGTATGGTCTGTGTTTATTGTACATGTTTTTCTAAAATCATTTGTTCAATCACTATTTAATGACATCAACTATAATACATATATGTAAACAAAGTTTATTGAAGAAAAAAAAAATATATATATATATCAATATTTTAAAGTAGGTACCTACTTAAGTTGTACATCGGTACAGGTGGCAGGCAAAATACTACCAAGGAATTATTAGTTTTTTTTTTTATCATTAAATATATGAATTTTTTTTTCTAATGTATTTTTCGAAACAGCTGAGGTAATATTTAGTTTGTAAATTCAATATGTCTGGTGTTCATGCATACATGGATTTGCGTAGTTGTTAAAAAATTTAATCGGAACCTTGAGAGTCGAGTGGAGCTCGGTACCTTCGTTAACGTTAAGGTATAGTGTGGAATATTTCCCATATTAAAAATAATGCAATTCAATAAAACGACATTGAAAAATAGAAACCTAAAATATATTTTACACTATGTATTATTATGTATAGTGTAAAACAATAAATTAATTGTTATAATAATCTATTTGTGTAAAATACAAAACAAACTAAAGTACGCCTTTACCTCCAACAATATGTTAACTATGTTATACTCGTTTGTTAATAGTGTCATAACAGATATTGGCTCATCGTGTGTTTATATTAAACTATAACAAAGTATACTCAAATTTAATTTTTAGTATTACAATTGTTATTATAGTGTTTTGCTATTTTTTTTGGTAAATTATAATAATATTATGTATACTTATTTATTATTCTGTTGTATATTAGGTCATAGTTAATGTAGGTTTATCATCAATGTAATAATATAAGACCCGTTTGTAGAACTCGCAATCATTAACCTTTGTAGCATGACTTATCTGAAGTACAATAACAATACTTCGTAAACAATACGTTTTTTATAGTATTTATTGCTAAATACCAGAAATAGCAACATGATTATCATACGACTAATGTCCACTATGTAAGATCTTTGAAATAAATTTTGATCGTGGATACTATGTTGTCAAAACTTAATTATTGTTAGCTGCACCCATTTAGAATACACCTCGTTTTATTTGGGAAAGTTTTAGAAACCCATAGGTATTAATAAATATTTATAAAAACAATACACTTAATCATTTTAATTAATTTATTGAAAAATAAAACAAATTGTAAGACGTGTAATACGATGTAATAAACATTAGTTTAAGACGATTAAAAACAACTTTTATACGTACTAAAAAGATTAAAACAAATTTAAACACAAAATATTAAAATTGTATGTACATGTCTATATTAAAACGGAAAGTGAGGTAAAAGTGCTCAAAATCATTTTTATTACAAACATTTTATATAAAAAAAACAAATAAGTGGCAAGAAAATTTGAGTCATATTTTACATTTCAGTTTGCATTTTTTTTTGGCCAATTCACCCAATAGTAAAATGTCTACAACTATAATGGTGTATCGTTTTCAGACCAGTGTAGCTGCACTATTGTCGGCGGCGTCCCTATTCATCCGTTATCGCACTGAACCGTATCGCAGTTGTTACTGTAGAATATACAATTACCGTATCCACTGTAACATATCAGGAACACCGCGACCAGGAACACTATACTGCATATTGTACACGGTTTGCGTTCCAGAAAGAAGCCAGTGAGATACAACACCATGAACATAACGTGGGTCTGCAGCAGCGCCGGATTCAACGGTTTCGGTATGAGCAGAACTGGTATGAGCCATTGTAAGCAGTACATGGCGTCGTTGTGCGTGCTCGTTACTGTTAACTGTTTAGTAAGACAACACCGGGGAATCGATAGACAGCAAAAATATAGGTCTTCTATTATTCATTGAACAAATATAATATAAAATGAAAAGATAATAATGATAATAATATTGTTGTTTTACATATTTTCCACACTATTGGCCGAGTTTTGCTGTTGCTGCTGTGGTTGATAATAACGAATAACAATCGAGGTCGAGATAAGTAATGTTGTGATAAGCCACGGATCGATTTTCCCGTGGTTTTTACCACAACACCTTATAGCTCTTTAACCGCAGATACGGTTACTGCGCAGCCCGCCAAAATATTTATACCAATATGGCGACTGCATTTTCAAAGGAATTTGTGTTTTGCGCATGCGTAGTGATGGCTTATCTGTTTACACAGTCGACTATTCTGTAGTTTATATACAACTGTGATAAGCGATGGATTTAAATCTCATTACGGACAATATATTATATACAATACCAGATAAGATTATTTTTAATATATTAAGAAATTATTATTAATATTATTATCAAGGTGGATTTATCGATAAATCCAGCAAACCGCTTTAGTTCGACTTTTCACAACTAGAGTGTATTACCCGTCTAAAGTTACATATAATATTATAAATCATTCAAATTATTATGTACTATTATATTTTTATCCCTTAAGTGACCAATGCAATTTGTAGCAAAAATGCAACATGTTAATTGCATAATTTTATTTTGTAGGAAAATACATTTAATTTAGTAGGCGCCCTATGGTTATTAAAAAAATAGCAGAAAATCTACCATATGTTATTATAAACCTTGTTGTTTTTGATGTGCACTTTTTTACTTATTTTTACCAAATTCCCGATAATTTAATTTGGTATAAACAATTTTTATATTATAAAATTAGGAATTGAAGGATTCAACCTATTACCTATTATGAGTAAAATGTATTTTTACAAAATATAGTCATTATATTAGAAATTAGGAAAAGGGTGTATAATTTATTTCCATATTTACCTAGTTGAATTTACATTTGTTTTCGATTTTACCCAGTTTAAAAATCATAGAAATAGATTAACTTAAGAATTATTTTCTACAAAATACTAATTTGACAGTAATGTAACATTTTACAGTATTTTTATTTTATGATTTCCACAAAAAACTTTGTTATTTAAAGGTCATATAATTAAGCCATTTGCCTGCATTATTATTTTAAAATTTTAACATAGTTTTTTTTGTCAAAATAATGATTTTTTTAAGTGATATGAAAGACAAAAAGTAAAACCATTGATCAGTCTTTGTTTTGATAATAATATAATATATTGTTATAATAATAAACAAATAAAATATACATGTTACCGTTGGAATTTTTTATATTTTTATTATATCTTAATTTATATTTCTTATATTATTTTCTGATTATTTTATTTTGCATTTTTTTCAAACCAAACATAATCCACGGAACGTTGACTGATCGATGATCAAGTGTGAACAGTTATTGTGATAACTAATGTTATTTAAATTTTCAAGTTTGAGAGAGAAGAGAAGTGTATCTAATGAAGGGACATTATTTTATCTGTGTTTAATGTTGAAAATTAAAAATATCTAAAATATATTTTTAAATAATATGTTGAAAATAAATAACGAAATTTGTTTCATTTTAACAATGATTTTTCTATTTTGATAAAAAAATTATTTTAATTAATTTTTTTATAAATTTTACTAATTTAACAGCAGCAGTTCTCACATTGGCTATCTAAATTGAAATATACCTTGAAGTGTAAAAAACTGTTGGTTCTGTCGCACGTTAAAATTAAATATTATGTACACAATAAAGATCATTTTAAAGCTTACTTCATTGAGGAACTGATATTCTCTCTGAATAATAGTTACTGTGAACAGTGAATAATATAAATATTATACTTGTTAACTATATGATGTATATAAGTTTGGGTGGAGTTATTTTGACGAAGATTAATATCTGTTTTAGAAATGCGTCCTACAGGAAGCCTCTGTTGTAGAATATCACAGTAATATAATTATTATGACAACCAACAGGTACAATACTATAACAACCATCTGTATGTAATCAAACAACTAAATATATAAAAACATTGGTTTTGACGTTTGCGTTTGTCAATGGAGTAACAAGGAGAAATTATTATTTAGGCAACTGCCAAATTGTTATGCACCCTCTTTACATTTTGTTTCTTATATAATATAAATGGTAATGAAATGGTTTCAAAAATCATCAATTTAATTATGCTATTAATATAAGACTTTCTAACAAAATTTGATTTTAAAAGTGTTTTTTTTTATGTTTGAGACCGCTTAAATTGTCTTAAAAGGAACCTGTATCATTTGGATATCTACTTGCCAAGTCTGGTACTCAACGGGGTTGGATACAAATTAACCTCTGATGTATAACAACCACTTTTTTCTCAAATATTGGTAACAATAATAACCAGGCGGCAAACAGGCTCTTATAAAGAATAAGTTCTTGAAAAGTTAATGGTTTATAGATTCCAGATCAGCATCAATTTTTTAAAAATATTATTGTTATTATATTCGATTTTACACGAATGCCAACATGACAACGGAAGACGTTTAAAATAGTCAAGATTAATAGTATCTTTAAACGTCACGTGGCTAGTGTTTTCTTAACTAGGTAAATACTGTAAGGATTGAGTAACATAAATAACATTGGCTTGGACTCTTGAAAATTACCAGTAATTGTTATGGTAATAACTAATACCACGGTAGCGGCAGTGGCCCTAAGTCACATAATTTAGCGGACTCCTGTCAATTAGAACGTGTTCAGAGACGATTCTATCTTGCGCAGCTTTTACTTTAAAAATAAAACATCCTCCCCACGACTACTCTATAGTTATGCAGGAATTAGGTCTCGTCTCATTAGCAGACAGGAGAGTTAACACCAACGTAGAGTTTTTGAAAAAACTTGTGGATGGTCGCTTTGATGCTCCCTCACTTCTTGTATTGGTCAATTTCAAGGTCCCTTCCCGCACTATTCGACACCATGTCCCATTCTTAGTTTCTACGCACACTACAAATTATGGCAAAAATAATCCTATTGATCGCATGATGCGGCAGGTCAATGAGAGTACCATTTACCATAATATATTATTCTAATATTATTTTTTTGTCCACTTTACTATTACTAATTTATATTACCTGTTATTATTATTATTACTATTATTGAATTATTATCATGTTTAAACTTATATAGTATCTGAATTTGTATTGTCCTGTGTTAAATTGTTGTAAAGGGCTTTGCCCGTAAATATATATAAATAAATAAATAAATAATTTATGTGTGGGGGTTGGAAACCACTATACCTACAGATGTTGTCGTGATACGCTCATGCCATATTTTATAAATATCGCTACCGCTCTTGCTCTCCGCTCTTTGGCGTCTCGGTACACACCTCGCAAGCACCACAACACACACACTATAAGCAATGTGTACGCACAGACACATTGCAGATAAGAAGACGGCACGACGACAAATTTGCCCGTTTGCCAATTTTACCCTTCGCGTCCCCCCCCCCTACCCGACCCGGCCGACCTTTTTTACCCGATTGGAGCGCACGAGACCCGCTCCGCCCCCGTTGCCGCGCGCGCGACGCGGCACCACGTCTGACGCCGCCGCCGGACCAGATCGCACCAGTCAGTCAGTCTCCGGCCCGTCGTCGTCTGCTGTAACGTCATATCGCCGTGGACCGCGCATATCGAATCGCGACCGCTTGCGATATACCCGTGTCGTCGTCGGAGTGTTTGAGTTTGGTGTGCGGTTTTTCTGTTTTGTATAAGCGTCGAGCAATGTTCGCCTGGCGTCAGGCCAACCGCGCGTTTTGAATATCTACAAGACAACGAGAATCGTATTTTGTTTGACCGTCGGTTAAATGGGTTTGCCGCCAAGTCGGTCGGTTTGCTGTTAAATTCTATCCGGTTTGCTTTGCACAAGAGTAAATCCGATACCGCCGCGGTAACGATGTCCGGTAAAACTGTAACGATCCTTTTGTGCGCGTACGCCGTTGCCGTGTTCGCGCCGCCGGCCACCGGATTGGCCATGACCGACTCGATTGATCCGTGCTACGATGGCGACCGCGCTCGCCGGTGCGTGCCGGACTTTGTGAACGCCGCGTACGGCGGTCACGTGGAAGCCACCAGCACGTGCGGAGTCCGAGGCCCCGAACGATTCTGTGAACTAGGGCCCACGTCGCAGGGCGTGTGCCACGTGTGCGACGACAGCCAGCCCAAGCGCCGCCACCCCGCCGCATACTTGACCGACCTCAACAACCCGTACAACGCCACATGCTGGAGGTCCGAGACGCTGGTGCCGCAACCGGTGGACCCGGCGTCTTCGCTGCCGCCGCCCGATAACGTGACCCTGACGCTTTCGCTTGGCAAAAAGTACGAGCTTACGTACGTCAACTTGCAGTTCTGTCCCAAAGCCGCCAAACCGGATTCGATCGCCATCTACAAGAGCATGGACTACGGCAAGACCTGGCAGCCTTTCCAATTCTATTCGGGACAATGCCGCAAGGTGTACGGCCGACCCAACCGAGCGACCATCACAAAGTCCAACGAACAAGAAGCGTTGTGCACGGATTCGCATCGGTTCAACGGCGCCGGGTCGTCGGCGTCCCGCGTCGCGTTCAGCACTCTGGAGGGACGCCCGAGCGCGGTCGACTTCGACAACAGCCCCGTGCTCCAGGACTGGGTGACGGCCACCGACGTTAAGATCATATTCAACCGGTTGCATTTTCCCATGGACTCCTCGATGGCGGCCACGACCACAACGACCACGACCACGACCACTACGACCACGGCCGAACCGAAATCGTCCGATTCGGACGAGTCGTTGAACGGCAACAAGACCAACGCCGATCTACTGATTTTGAACCCGGACCAGGAGTTGCAAGGCCACGAACCCGAAAAGACAACGGTCGTCCCGGCGGTGACGACCGCGGCGGCCGCGGGTGGCCGCACGTACCACTACGCGGTGTCCGACTTATCGGTGGGCGGCCGGTGCAAGTGTAACGGACACGCGTCTAGATGTGTGCCATCTGGACCGGGCGGAACCCTGGTATGCGACTGCAAGCACAACACTTCTGGACGAGACTGTGACCGATGCAAACCGTTCCATTTCGACAGACCCTGGGCCAGAGCCACGGTTCGCGATCCCAACGAATGCAAACGTGAGTTGCCACCGTTAACGACATTTTAAAAATACAATTTATACTAATAAAAGTGAATCTAAAATAAAATGTGAAATGAACGAGATGAATGAATTTTAAACATTAACCTAAAGATGTTAAAATGGAAATTTGAGGTATCACAAAAATCAAATTATACAACAAATTGATTACATTGTAAACTATGCAATTATGTTACATCACTTATCGGTGCGCGCACTTTGCACAGGGATGCGTACGACAATTATTATGATTATTTCCTTATACGATTGTCGTCCTATCTGCGTTTACTACCTAAGTGATTTCACGTTTTTATTAGAGAAAACTAGTATTAGCACCGGGCGGTGGTTATACCTATTCTAATAAAGGTCCGGAGATGGCCACATCCGCTCTGCGACCTCACATGTAGTCAAAATTAATCTAGTCTCGCTTCTGATATCAGTTACACTGCGTAGGTAGCCCTCGAGACGCCAACGTGTTAAAATAACATGTACGAGTGTATAATATCTAAATACCAAACGAATAATAATGGTCTTCGGATTGTGATCATTACCTCGACAGACACCTTATTGTATCTTTTGTCACCACTCGGGTTATCATCGAGGAACCAGATAGCCCCGTTTACCGGTCAGGTCCAAGTACACCGCACAATCCATGCAAACTCCGTTATCTCGAGACGTTGGAATTGGCCAGTTTTTGATCCTTACACACGTTTGTTCGATTGTAATCATCTCGTCTCCAGACTCGTGCGATCGACAATCGTCGAGATCTAACAATGGACGAATTGTTGTTGTATAATATCTATCTGACTTTTTTGTCATTGACCCCTGTGGGCTTGCCGGCAAAACCCCCAAGCAGCAGACACAAGATTACAATCTTATATACCCGTCCACATCACATACACAGCTATTCACATCTGGCCCAGGGTGTTTTTAGAATCTCTTTATTTATGAATCGATTCCGGTCACGGTACACACACACACACACACACCGTGAACCGGTTGTATATAGGTGAGAAGTAACAGGGTAAAGCTGACGTCCGCACGTGCTTGGTTTTTTCAATATATATATTTTTTTACCCAAGGCTTTTCCCGTCGTCTCCCTCGGGATCTTACCTCTCCATACACCTGTCCGGCATTCTAAGACATTTTTTTACATTAGGTTACACACTTAAGTATATACTTAGCCAATATCCAGACGCGTACGTGGCTGTCAAAGCCTGTAAGTAATGCAATTTGTTCACATGTGTGTGTGTGTGTTACTTGGCCATGCTTATCCAAGCAATCTGGTATTGTGTGACAATAATATTAGCCTTCCATGCAGTTTTCAAATAACGATTCTGTAAAACAGCTATACCCACTAATATGCGTACCTGGCATTAACTTATCAACTGAATAAAAAAAATAACTAACTAGTCATATTTTAGTGTAAGCGTGCATAATAAATAGTAGCTACATGCATTATGTTTGTCTTATTGTATTATGCTTTACGGTTTTTATTTGTTTTATCTTATACCGTTTTATAAGTTTTTTTTTTTAAGGGTTGAGATTTTTTTGTTTGATGGTAAAGACACGTGCTGCAAGTGTTAGGAGGGAGGATGTTGGACGGTAATTATTTTTGGGTATGTCAGGTATACGAGCACCTAGGCAGACTATGTATGACTACATTGTAACTCAGGTATAATTACCTGAGTCGGTAGTTTATGGCCTAAGGGCTATCCAACGACGTTTGGAAAGAAGTACTTGACAGTTAACTCCATCTCTAGATACAATGTGATAATATTTTCCAGTAAAATACATTTTATTCGTTCGGTTATGAAGTCGTACAAAACGTCCAACAGAAATCTTTTGGTCGGTATTTTCTATGACAGGTTAAGAGAAATATTATATTTTGGACGGTTACAGCAAATTTTTTTTAAATAAGTATGAGGGGAGGAGAGGAGAGGGGAGTGTTTAAATTAATATCTCTTTATTCGATAAAGATAATAACATGTTGTATACATATTGAACAAATCGGATTTTCGCTTAAGTGTTTAACACCGGATTTAATGTCTCTCCAAGTGTATTATTATTATATCCTTAGGTCGTGACCATTGCCGCCGCCGTCGGTTTACAAAAAAGGATTTGCTAATTTGCAAACAAGATCCTGTCCCCTAGTGTGTTTTTGCACTTAACCGGACACGGCGGCCGTGTCAGACGGTTTTATGTGTATCCATGATGGTCGTACACACAAGTTGTATATTTTATCTTCCGTTTATCTCGCGCCCTTTTTCTTGTATTTGTATATTATAATGAAAATAATATCAAATATATTACACAATTGGCAACCCTCATGTAGAAAGTTTGCAAACAAAACCAATAATTTAATATCAAAAACACTAGCAGCCGGTTTCACCAACTATTGTTATTATTGAATTTTATTTGTTAAGTTAACTTGGTTACTTGGGTTACCAAAGCGGTTACCTCGATTCCAACGTTCTCATTGGTTATCGCGAAATGTGATAATACTGATAAGTGATAATATTATCATTTTATAATCAAAACACAATTAGTACAGCCGGTTTCACCAACAGTTATTAATTACACTTTTAACATAATGTTTTAGTTGACAATTCGTTTAAATTTAACATCAAGTTTCACCACGACTTTATTATTATTGAATTTTATTTGTTAAGTTGACGAAATGTTACTTGGGTTACCAAAGCTTAGGTTACCTCGATTCCAACGTTCTCATTGGTTATCGCGAAATGATAACTGATAATATTATCATTTTATAATCAAAACACAATTTTCTTTACATAACACAATTAACTTTTTGACAAGCTGATTTCGGCTGATTAACTTAACAATCGTTTTAACAGTGTGTTAAGGCTAACAAATCTTGTTAAATATAATTAACAAATAAGTTAAATCCATCAATTAAAGGTATGTTATTTTGCAGCTAATCAGAAACGTTGTGGTATTTTTTTTTTTTTTTGAGAAAAAAACATTGTACACTAACTTTTTCCAGACATCAAAAACTTCCATTGTTTATTGACAAGTTAATTCTGGGCATATGATATTTTCCGTCAGTTATTATTTTTCATTTTTGTGAAATAAAACCGCTTAAGCCCCCAAACAGCGAAACTGTTGTTATTCGAAAGGGGGATTAATAATTTGTTTGTAAAAAAAAAAATACTCCATTATTTTGTATCTCTCTTAATGAAGAATTACCCAAACGGTTCGCTCATTGTTAATGTGCGATGAAATGACAATATGTCAATTATTTTAATAAAGGTATTACATAGACCATGTGTAGACACTCCCATTTCAATTTTCCTATTTGCTCAACCGTAACGGATAAAACAGTTTTGATGGCAGTCATTATTGTTATCACCTAAAATATAACCCTAGGACATTAGCAATGTTAATAATCAAACACATACCGATGGGTTAATATTGTGGCCAATATGTTTCAGTAGAAATGTATTTTTTACCGACCGTCCGGTATGATAAAGATGCTGAAGTCTTCTATGTTTTCTCTGCCAGCCAATTACCACTTTTCACAGTTTTATCCTCTTATTGGATAATAATAATATCTTCATAATTGAAACATTAAAAAGGCGTTTTTAGTTTCGGGTGAAATGTTTGAAAAAAAACGAAACGATACACATCTGTAATGCCTTATAACGTGTTTGGTATATAATATAATTATTTATTTCTGAATAAATGATCTCCTCATTATTCAAGAGCTGTAAAAGATTAATTACTTAACATAGATACCAAGATTACCTACTTGATATCTGATCTTTCCGATTAAATCCTTTCTACCATACACATGCTATACAGATAATGTCGTTTATATACCTACTTCCACTCAACGGATAAAATAAATTACCAAGTCTGAAGACGTGAATAATGCAATGAAAGCAATAATAATTGTTTTAATATAAAAAAAAAACGTATCCGTAAAACTCATTCAATAGAAATAAAGTATATTATAACTATTATTAATATTATTACATAAGTATATAATAAAGTATACTCAAATAACAATGCTAAATAATTAAATACAAACAAGCATCAAAGCGTTAATTTCAAAGTGATTTTATCTAGAGAGGACTAGTACAGTAAAGTATAGACATAATGGATTCAAAGCAACGAGGGGACGGGTAGGTCACAGGTCTACAGGAATTATTATAAATAAAAGTGATAAAATTGAATAAAATCACTTTCGAATAAACGGTTCGATTAAACTTTATCTCTCACACCACACAAGAGTCGACAGTTATGAGCGTCATTTCGTTTCTCACATCTGGCACACCGTCAATGTAAAAAAAAAAATTAAATTAAAACCTAAAAATGGTATTTGAGTAACAAAACTAGGGATTGAATTTTTTTTGGGGGGGGGCTACTAATTTTTAGTGTGGGGGTGCTAAAGTCCTATAGTCTCCCTATACAGGGTGTTCCATTTTAAAATACTAATCAATTTTTCTCCAAAAATACTAATCCAATCAAAAAGTTGCTTATTAGAGACTTATAGAGTACAAATGGGGACGTCTATAAAAAAAAAAATATAAGGTCCAAAATTCAAAATGACGGACTTACGGTCAAAAACATGTTTTTTTAAAATGGAAACCATGTATTTTTTGTTAACCAAACAAATGTTCTTATAAAAACTAACAACTTTTGTAGGAAAAAAATTTCGGTAAACCCCATAATTTAAATGGGAAAACCCATGATTTGTGTAAGTCTCTTTAACTATTTTTAGTTTTGTTATTTTATTTTGATCTTTATGGTAACCTTGGTCATGTGTGGTAACTATGGTTTTTGTCTTTGTGAAACACAGAAAAGAGGATAACGTTAACAATAAAAAAAGTGATAATGTAATGGTAAGGTTAGGTTAGTTAACGATAAACATACCATGGTTACTACTAGAGCTTCTTATTTCACGTGTACACGAAAATACGTGTATTCGAATTTTTGAATAGTTCGTGTTTAAGTTCATATAGTTCGTGTATTCGT